TTGAACAACAGTGGATAGAAAAAAATTGAAGACAGTACTGACACAAATTGAAAACAAATGAAAACAACACAATGATGGTGATGTTTGATACTGCCTATGCTTGGTACCGATGGGAATCTGACAAAACACGAAAAAATTGTGTTTGCAGGCTCAAAAGGAAACATGACTACATCGGCCGAGGCTGGTGATTTGATTCCATTTGACACTTGATTTTTTTTTTCAAATGTGGGTGGGTTCTACACAGAAGATTGAGATTGATACGGACTGTTGGCACAGTATTCCATGCAATGCAGGATGATGCTGGTGTTCTTGAATTTCAACGCACCAAACTTTTTGCAGACTTTGACGCCAAGGTGTCACTTGGGTTGGAAGGCATGCCATGCTCATTGTGACATTTGGAAGGAATTTCACAACCAGAATTTGTGATGGGGACATATCAAGTTGACATTTTTATTGACGCAGCTTCGAAAATGTCGTGGGGCACGGCCTTGAGACGTAGCGACGTGAGGCCAAAGCTGCCTGGCGAATGGAATTTGAAGCTGATGCTGTAGCGGCACAAAGCGAATGTCGCTTCTTGCAGGCAGATCCAATTGGACGATTTTTGATAAATTTCAAACAGCAAAGGCTGCACTTTTGGATACTGAAAAACATGACGTTCGCCAAGAGGCAGAGATCCATCGACTCCTTGCGCAGAGAGCAGCGGAGCGCAAGCAAGTCCTTGAATGCTGCACCGCGATGGCTGATTTTCAAGTGCTGGTTTGAAAATAGGCGTTGTTTGACGATTTTCGTCGATTTATCATGATTTATTGATTGCTTTTGATTTAGCATCCCTCCCCAGCTTAGCCTTTGCCGTCATGACTTTCAGACTTGGTGAGGAGCGGGTGACCACAGGACCGGAACTTGGCCCACATTTCAGTTGCATCACTTTGGATCAAAGTTGAAACCACACACACATATATATATACAGTATACATATTATAAATATGTATGTATGTATGTAATGTAATGTAATGTAATGGTATGTAATGTAATGGTATGTATGTAATGGTATGTAATGTAATGGTATGTAATGTAATAGTATGTATGTAATGGTATGTATGTAATGGTATGTAATGTAATGGTATGTATGTAATGTAATGGTATGTAATGTAATGGTATGTAATGTAATGGTATGTAATGTAATGGTATGTAATGTAATGGTATGTATGTAATGGATGTCTGTAATGTTGTATGTAATGGTATGTAGGTAATGGTATGTAGGTAATGGTATGTTATGTATGGTATGTAGTGTAATGTAAATGTAATGGTATGTAATGTAATGGTATGTATGTAATGGTATGTAATGTAATGGTATGTAATGTAATGGTATGTAATGTAATGGTATGTAATGTAATGGTATGTATGTAATGGTATGTAATGTAATGGTATGTAATGCAATGGTATGTATGTAATGGTATGTAATGTAATGGTATGTAATGTAATGGTATGTATGTAATGGTATGTAATGTAATGGTATGTATGTAATGGTATGTAATGTAATGGTATGTAATGCAATGGTATGTAATGTAATGGTATTTAATGTAATGGTATGTATGTAATGGTATGTATGTAATGGTATGTAATGTAATGGTATGTAATGTAATGGTATGTAATGTAATGGTATGTAATGCAATGGTATGTAATGTAATGGTATGTAATGCAATGGTATGTAATGTAATGGTATGTAATGTAATGGTATGTAATGTAATGGTATGTAATGCAATGGTATGTATGTAATGGTATGTATGTAATGGTATGTAATGTAATGGTATGTAATGTAGTGGTATGTATGTAATGGTATGTAATGTAATGGTACGTAATGTAACGGTATGTAATGTAATGGTATGTAATGTAATGGTATGTATGTAATGGTATGTAATGTAATGGTATGTAATGTAATGGTATGTAATGTAATGGTATGTAATGTAATGGTATGTAATGTAATGGTATGTATGTAATGGTATGTAATGTAATGGTATGTAATGTGATGGTATGTATGTGATGGTATGCAATGGTATGTAATGTAATGGTATGTAATGTAATGGTATGTAATGTAATGGTATGTATATAATGGTATGTAATGTAATGGTATGTATGCAATGGTATGTAATGGTATGTATTGTAATGGTATGTAATGTAATGGTATGTAATGTAATGGTGTGTAATGTAATGGTATGTAATGTAATGGTATGTAATGTAATGGTATGTAATGTAATGGTATGAAATGTAATGGTATGTAATGTATGTAATGGTATGTAATGTATGTAATGTATGTAATGTATGTAATGTATGTAATGTATGTAATGTATGTAATGTATGTAAGGTATGTAATGTATGTAATGTATGTAAGGTATGTAATGTAATGTAAGGTATGTATGTAATGGTATGTAAGTAATATGTATGTAATGGTATGTAATGTAATTGGTATGTATGTATGGTTGGTATGTATGTAAGGTAGTAATGTAATGGTATGTATGTAATGTATTATGTAATGGTATGTAATGTAATGGTATGTAATGTAATGCAATGGTATGTATGTAATGGTATGTAATGTAATGGTATGTATGTAATGGTATGTATGTAATGGTATGTAATGTAATGGTATGTAATGGTATGTAATGTAATGGTATGTATGTAATGGTATGCAATGGTATGTAATGTAATGGTATGTAATGTAATGGTATGTAATGTAATGGTATGTATATAATGGTATGTAATGTAATGGTATGTATGCAATGGTATGTAATGGTATGTATTGTAATGGTATGTAATGTAATGGTATGTATGTAATGGTATGTAATGTAATGGTATGTAATGTAATGGTATGTATGTAATGGTATGTAAGTAATGGTATGTATGTAATGGTATGTATGTAATGGTATGTATGTAATGGTATGTATGTAATGGTATGTAATGTAGTGGTATGTAATGTAATGGTATGTAATGCAATGGTATGTAATGTACTGGTATGTATGTAATGGTATGTAATGTAATGGTATGCAATGTAATGGTATGTATGTAATTGTATGTAATGTAATGGTATGTATGTAATGGTATGCAATGGTATGTAATGTAATGGTATGTAATGTAATGGTATGTAATGTAATGGTATGTAATGTAATGGTATGTAATGTAATGGTATGTAATGTAATGGTATGTATGTAATGGTATGTATGTAATGGTATGTATGTAATGGTATGTAATGTAATGGTATGTAATGTAATGGTATGTAATGTAATGGTATGTAATGTAATGGTATGTAATGTAATGGTATGTAATGTAATGGTATGTAATGTAATGGTATGTAATGTAATAGTATGTATGTAATGGTATGTATGTAATGGTATGTATGTAATGGTATGTATGTAATTGTATGTATGTAATAGTATGTACTGTAATGGTATGTATGCAATGGTATGTATGTAATGGTATTAAAGTAATGGTATGTATGTAATGGTATGTAATGTATTGGTATGTATATAATGGTATGTATGTAATGGTATGTAATGTAATGGTATGTAATGTAATGGTATGTAATGTAATGGTATGTAATGTAATGGTATGTATGTAATGGTATGTAATGTAATGGTATGTAATGTAATGGTATGTGTGTAATGGTATGTAATGTAATGGTATGTAATGTAATGGTATGTAATGTAATGGTATGTAATGTAATGGTATGTAATGTAATGGTATGTAATGTAATGGTATGTAATGTAATGGTATGTATGTAATGGTATGTATGTAATGGTATGTATGTAATGGTATGTAATGTAATGGTATGTAATGGTATGTAATGTAATGGTATGTAATGTAATGGTATGTAATGTAATGGTATGTAATGTAATGGTATGTAATGTAATGGTATAATGTAATGGTATGTAATGTAATGTACGTAATGTACGTAATGTACGTAATGTACGTAATGTATGTAATTTATGTAATGTATGTAATGTATGTAATGTATGTAATGTATGTAATGTATGTATGTATGTATGTATGTATGTATGTATGTTAGTATGTATTCATCTATCTATCTATCTATGTATGTATGTATCTATCTATCTATCTATCTATCTATCTATGTATCTATGTATCTATGTATCTATGTATTATGTATGTATGTATGTATGTATGTATGTATGTATGTATGTATGTATCTATGTATCTATGTATCTATGTATGTATGCATGTAATGTAATGGAATGTCATGTCATGTAATGTCATGTCATGCAATGCAATGCAATGCCATGCAATGCAATGCAATGCAATGCCATGCATGCATGGATGTATGTATATACGTATGTATGTAGGTTGGGTTGTGTTGTGTTGTGTTATGTAATGTAATGTAATGTAATGTATGTATGTATGTAGCACATTTAATAATTATATGATTTATAATATATATACATAATATTTTGTTATGTATGGGTCATGGGTCATGTATTCTTATTCTTTTCGGTGAGATGCAGGCAAGACCATTGCGGAACTTGAAGAAACCATCTCACAGATGCAGGTCCGATTTGGGCATCGGGGTCCTTGTGCTATACATGGTTGGTCATATCCTGCCACGTTTGACCCTTGCTTTCTGTTTGGCAGAGTCGCGACTGCTGTGTTGCAAAGTTCTTTTCTGCTTCAGCTGTGCCGGGTGAGTATACATGGAGTCAGAGAAAATCCAAGAACATAAATGAGAGGGCACCAATCCAAGAATGGCCTCGAAGAAATGGCACTCCATTGTGTGTGGAACTTCAATCGGACATCTTATGGCATCACTTTTGACAGCCAAATGTGTGAGCGCAAGATACTATTGCATCTTTGCCAGCGGTTTAAGAAGTGTTTGGCAGCATGGTGGTTCATGTTAGGTTTCAGATTCACTCGAGCAAGGTTTTCTTTGTCCTAGGAAATCCTCGGCAACAAACAGAGTACAACATCACATCGGAGTAGAGTGCCTGTGTGCGGCCATGGGTCGGCGACGTTTTGTCCGTGTGGACAGAGGTCACCGGCTCTAGCAAAGGACTAAATAGGGGTACTGTTCTGTCAAATGGGTATGGATCAATACCTATTAATACCATTTTTAGAGGGATGAACATCCATTTACCAGCTATTTTGATGTTCACCAGGGGTACAAGGTTTTGACACACTGCCATTTGTTGATGCACAAAGTGTTGTAGCTATCTCCCTACTTTTTTTGGCAGGCCAAGCCACTCAGGGTGTTGCTGGTGTTCTGCGGACACTTGCGCGGGCATTGGCCATAGGAGTGCCAAGGTTGCATTGACAACGATGTTTCCCTCTTATGATATATTCATACATGTATTCATTCATGTATATGTGCAACTACAATATATATATATATATATTATAATATATATATATGTGAGTAGGTAGATCGATAGATAGAAAGATAGGATAGGATAGGATAGGATATGATAGGATAGGATAGGATAGATAGGATAGAATAGAATAGATAGGATAGATAGGATAGATAGGATAGATAGGATAGATAGGATAGACGGATAGATAGGATAGATAGGATAGATCGGATAGATAGGATAGATAGGATAGATAGGATAGATAGGATGGATAGGATGGATAGGATGGATAGGATGGATAGGATAGATAGGATAGGATAGATAGGATAGATAGGATAGATAGGATAGATAGATAGATAGGATAGATAGGAGGATAGGATGGATAGGATGGATAGGATGGATAGGATGGATAGGATGGATAGGATAGGATAGGATAGGGATAGATAGGATAGATAGGATAGATAGATAGATAGGATAGATAGGATAGATAGGATAGATAGGATAGATAGGATAGATAGGATAGATAGGATAGATACGATAGATAGGATAGATAGGATAGATAGGATCGATAGGATCGATAGGATCGATAGGATCGATAGGATCGATAGGATCGATAGGATCGATAGGATCGATAGGATCGATAGGATCGATAGGATAGGATAGGATCGATAGGATCGATAGGATGGATAGGATCGATAGGATGGATAGGATCGATAGGATCGATAGGATAGATAGGATGGATAGGATGGATAGGATGGATAGGATAGATAGGATGGATAGGATAGATAGGATAGATAGGATAGATAGGATAGATAGGATAGATAGGATAGATAGGATAGATAGGATCGATAGGATCGATAGGATCGATAGGATCGATAGGATCGATAGGATCGATAGGATCGATAGGATCGATAGATAGGATAGATAGGATCGATAGGATCGATAGGATAGATAGGATAGATAGGATAGATAGGATAGATAGGATAGATAGGATAGATAGGATAGATAGGATAGATAGGATAGATAGGATAGATAGGATAGATAGGATAGATAGGATAGATAGGATAGATAGGATAGATAGGATAGATGGATAGATAGGATAGATAGGATAGATAGGATAGATAGGATAGATAGGATAGATAGGATAGATAGGATAGATAGGATAGATAGGATAGATAGGATAGATAGGATAGATAGGATAGATAGGATAGATAGGATAGATAGGATAGATAGGAAAGATAGGATAGATAGGATAGATAGGATAGATAGGATAGATAGGATAGATAAGATAGATAGATAGATAGATAGATAGATAGATAGATAGATTAGATAGATAGATAGATAGATAGATTAGATTACATTAGATTAGACTAGATCAGATTAGATTAGATTAGATAAGATAGATAGAAAAGTTCTTATCATATGAGTACATGTTGGGGTGTTGGGTGGTTTGGAAGTGATGTTCTCTTTGAAACTTGACCCCAGGTGACCCCCTTGTGATCTCCTCGTCCAAGGCAGCGACTCCTTTTGTGCTGCCCAGATTTTCGAGCTACGGCACCTACGGGGTCCCCAGGTGCCGTAAAGCCGCCTCAACGGGTTGCCGTGAAACCTGGAAGCACGGCCTCGAGGCACGAGATATCAGAAGCACATGGCAGTCCTTCGCGAAGTGCTAGAGAGGTGCCTTGGGGACTTGGGTTCAGACTCATTGTGACATGTGACAACCATGATTGGTATTTAAACGTGCTTAAATTAAAGCATCGTAGGAGGTTTTAAGCTGATTGCAGGACCTCAACCGAAACTACAACAATTGCAACTTCTGGGATATTTCCTCAAATAGTGTGTGCCAGGCAGTAGCGAGCTTTACGACACCCATCCGGCGCTTGGACTCTTGTCGACAGTCTTGGGAGATTGACTGCTTTATGATTGAGGACTAGATGCAAAGCCCCAGGACCATTCGAGTACTCAAAACATCAGTTGACCGAGATGGATAGACTGATAGACAGGGCGTTCCGTCCTCTTGTCAAGCTTTGTTCCTTGGAGCCATGGGTCGGCCAAAGTCGATCAAACGCTGTTTCAAACTAAGGATTTTACCAATGCAGCGTTGGTGGGTGCTGGTTACGACTTGGTTGATGTGAGGCCCCACATTCCACTTTTTTTTGGTACAGAGGAAGCAGTTGTGTTTGGAAAGACTTGAATGGTCAAGCAGTTCAGTACCATGGTCATGAGTTGGTCGTCAAATCCCGATGGATTGGATGATTGGATCCCATGGGTCCCATGGCTCATCTTGCTAGGGTCCTGACCGAAGATGGTACGCCAGTGGAGGCTCCCAAAAAACTTCCTGGGATACCCATGTCACCAACTAGATCCTTGACCTCAAATGACCTCAAATGACCTCAATACACAAAGAGACCTTGCGTGAGACTTAGCAAAAAAAGTTCCAGTTTTTGTCGTGAGACTCTTTCGAAGGCAAATCATGTTCCAATTCGCGCAATATCATCGCTGCATTTGTCCGAATTTGGATTCAATCGCGTAGCTAGCATCTATCTACATAAGAAATTCATGTCCCCTGATGAATTACTGGCCTTTCTCTTCCAGTGTTCCCGGTCTAATCCTGGCGAGTGGCTAGATCCTACCCAGAAGAAACATATCGCTTTGTATTGGACACCTTCCTTCGACGTTTTGATATGACTGCTCAAAGTCCACCATCTCCTGCAATGTTGACCTGTCCTAAGAAAAAAGGTTTCGATGAAAAAGAGTCTCCAGATGTTGGATGAAGCATTCTGACACCCTGGTTGGATTGATCCTGAGTGGAACCTCCCTTTGGTCATAACGGATCATGGAAAAGACTTCAGAACATCAGGCAACTTTCATGCTGGATAGTGGGCTCTCTACAAACTTGGTGCACAACCCTCAGGTTTGTTGTTTGTTGTTTTTTTCAAATCCTTGCCTTAGAGTCTCAAAACTTGGAAACTCGGAAGCAAGTCAACATGAAACATCCTGAAACATCTCGAAACCAAGCGGACAAGCAGGGCTTAAAAGCCATGAGCCGCCCTCTGCATATGAACAGTGTATTATGTTGTGACAGCTGTTGTGTGAAAAGCTTAGGAATTTGGAATTTAATTTAACTTAATCTAAATTTATAAATGTGATATAAATGGTGATTTTTGATGTGATAATGGCACCTGCCAAAATACTTGGTGCCATTGGTGCCATCCTGGCGTCCTGAGGTCGCCCAGTTTCTTGGAGAAGCTGGGCCTGGAGGCTGAAGCGGAGCCGATGGAAGGCACTGCGTCAGGTTCCCCGGAAGAGGCAAAAATTTGGCAAACTTGGCCAGCAAAACTCAGCAAAACTCAGCAAAACTCAGCAAAACTCAGAAAAACACGCAGCAAACCCTTGAACCTTTATCATACTTTTATATACTTTTGCTATCTTACGATTGGTGAATAAGTTACATTTCTGTGGTTGAGCCACGCCAGTAGAGCTTGCACTTTTGAACTTGTAAAACACACCGCATTGAAATATGTAGAGTGCTGCAGAGCTCTGATCCACACACTGATTCTTTCCAAGTGGTGATGAATGAGTGGCTCTTGCCTCTGACATCGCTACCATCAACTACCATCCTTTCCCTGGTATTCATCATCGAAATTATATAAGTGTTGATTGCAAAGTCTTGTATAAATGGTTTAGTTGTTGTATGTTATTGTCATCAAAGTGTTCCAATCGACTCTGAACTTCCTTTGGACATAGATGCTTAGGCTGGGTGGAAACATGATGAAGTTGAGGCTTGAGTGTCTGTCTGCGTTGGCTGTGTTTGGAGGGTTTCCGGTAGGAAACCAAAGGATTCACAGCCTTCTCTTACATCCTACATTCTTCAAACAGGAGAAAACATGCTGTTGCTGGTTGGACCTTCTTTTCATTTCTGTTTATTCTGTTTATTTAGCAGTTTATTGTTGCCTCTTTATGCCTCTTTCGTCGCTAGATCCACGTTTCTACCTGGCCTCGAAATGTTGGGTAACGATGACAATGAGACGCGCTTTGCAGGCGATGGTTGGTCGAAGGGCAGTTGTAGGGAAGCAAGGGAACATGGTTCAAGGAGACAACCAGCAAGTGTTCCTGTGTAGAAGTTTGTAGAACTGATAGAATTTACTGTAACTTACTTGTTTTATCTTATCACATTTTTATAGGCTTCATATGGCTTCATCATGCTTCATCATTTTCACATGTCTGGTCCCACGCAGCCTGTGGGTTCTCTGCCGTGAGGTCTCTGGGAGGGTGCCGGTTGGCGTGCATGGTGTACCTTGGATTGGGATGCGTGGAAGGCTGAGTCCCGCGCCGTTGACAAAGCTGTTTTGATCTGTTTTGTGCGTACTGGTGCATGGTGCGGTACTTTGTATACCAACATTTTTTGCCACCATTTAACCGCAAATCACGAAGGACTGTGAATAGCAGCAGACATGAATTTTGGAGGCGGCAGCTGCGACATCAAAGACCATTACTGGCAAGGCGGATACACTGCTATTTCAGAGCAACTATGCCCGGTAAGCAGTGCTCCAAGGCACAGGAAATTTCTGGTGACCATGCCATGTGAATGAAATTGAATGAATGAATGAACTTGCCCTGCAATAGCTTCAATTGTGCTCTTTTTTTCCGACTTGTTCTGCCCTTCCCGTACCTGTGGCAAAGCGGCAAACGGGCCCGCTGAGCCTGACGTAGTGGCGTCAGCGTGTCTTTTTGCAACAAAATGCGGCACATGACATATGTTTGCAATTAACATATTCTAAATACATCTAAATACTATTAAATCACAATTAAATCGTTATCGTGGTGTGTGGTGTGACCTTGCAGGATTGCTCCAAAACTCTGGTGGTGAATGGCGCCCCGCAGGTGCAGTACGAGGTGTTGCCCAGTGAGGGCATGACAGACAGGCAGCTGGAGATGGTTGGCTGGCGAGGCCCACATGAAATCTGGCGGTGATGGCACAGACGGAATCCCCCACAGCTGCTCATGGGCCTTATGGGAAGCCGTAGCTATTCATGAGTTATACAGTTCTACCTTAGCTGCAGAGACTTGGTTCCAAGCCAAGCAATTTCCTTGGTGCCGAGGCCAAGAAACAGTGGAAGGAGAGTTCGAAGTTGCCGCCTTGGGAAAGCGCTTCCCATGAGCCACTTGGCAAATTTTAATCCATGCGTCCCAGTTGTCTGTTGAGGCAGGACGATTCTCGGGCCGCGGCGTGTCCGTTGAGCCCAAAGGCAGATGTGAAAGTACCAGGATCAGCTCCGCTAAGATTTCACAGCGGCACTGATCACCGCAGGTGTGCTCGCTACGACTGAGAGCTACAAGTTTGAAGAGGAGGGTGACAGCCTGGTAGAGGTCAACAGTGGCATGAGGCACACAAAGTGGGCCTTCCAACGGCTTCTGTGAAATCCTATGGACAAAACTACTGATCTTTGCAAAATTCAACACGACACTTGCAATCAGATTTCGCTCTGAGCAATCAGGCTAAGCCTTGTCGGTAGCCATGCCATGCTTTTTTGGTCCGCAACCACCTGTTTCAATCCCAATCCAGCGATCCTTGTACCACAGGCTTCGACGCAGCAGCTACAGACCCAGCTTGCCCTTGCCTGGGCCTTTGCACGCCACATCTGTGGGCTTCACACAGGAGATGGAGGGAAAGTCATAAGTCATAAGCTTTAGAATGATACCTAGAAGATCGTAGAAGGATTGAATATGAAATATGATTGAACAATACTGATCAATATTGAACATACTGTCCACAGAGAGAGAGAGAGAGACCAGTCACTTCATCTCCTGTGAAGGGTCTGAAGTTCATTCTGAAGGGTCTCTTTTTCTCGAAAGACATTCAGCCTGAGATATGCTGTAATGACACGAGCATAGGAGGTGCTTAAAGGATGCTCCACAGCGATCTCGTGACGCCAGGAGCAGCTTGCTGAACGTGAGGCACGGAGCTTATTGGAGCTTCAGACATCCGAAAAATCTGCTGAAAAATCGGCCGAGGGCACCCGTTTGGATGGCATGCTTGGGCAACTGCCGTTGTATCAGGACTGTGACCATGACTGTGACCATGACTGTTCAACAAATTATAAGCGTTCTGTCGCTGTATTGGAGCGTAACAGGATGCAACCGATGTATACCGATGTACCGATGTCCTTGCCAGGATTTTGCTGTAGAGGTGGATCCCGAGGCAAAGTTTTCAGACTCCAAATCTGCTTGCTCCACATCCTCCACATCCTCCACATTCTCCACATTCTCCACATTTGCTCATGTCTCTTCTCATGTCTCTTTGGTATTCTTTGGTCATTTTTCAGGCGAAGCAGCTGGTGCTGCGCATGCCCGAGGAAGCCTCTTTGCAAGCCCAGAAGGTGCGGAAAGTATTGGTTGAAAGGGTTGACATCAGCAGGCAGCATTCATTGATACGAAAGTTTTCAGCGGAAGCTCAGAAAGAAACGAGACTACTAAGGACGCTACAATTTCTTTGCGACAATTATAGGTTATAAAATGTATTAAAATGTATTAAAATGTGTTAAATGAGATGGTTCTGCAGGCTCACCACTAGGAGATGAGTGCCGCACTTTCCCCATGAGGTCGGCATGCAACGTTTGCCTGGCATGGACCTGCCGAGTCGGCTCTTTGGCGTGGGATTCCCAACCCTGACGTGCTGTGAGTCTGCGTCAACATCTTGGAAACTGAGGTGAACATCTTTCACGCAGGGCTGACGGGAGGTGGCTGAGTAAAGCATGGCTGTGTAGAGTGTAGAGCTATGACAGGAGTATTTCGTGTATTTCGTCATACTTTGCCAATTTTCTGTCGGATTCTCATGACGCTCAATGACACTTTTTGCAGACTCATGGACCAGCCGTGAAGGCATCACTAACCAATGACGCTGTTTTGGCGGAGTCTTGTCAGGTACAAGGCCGGAAAAAGCCGTCCCAGCACTGGTGGACAGCGGCTCTGCGAATTCTGCCGGGCTGGCACGTTTCAGTCGAAATGTTTGGAACTTGAGATATCTAAAGATGAGAAGAGAACTCTTGCTCATCATTCTCATCCATTGAACATTGGAAAGGTGCAGAAATTCTGAGACCATGAAAACACTTCTGATAGAATATGTCACCATGTCCCCTGCCAGGTGGTGAATTGGCCTGCAGCTGAAGTCCTTTTCGGGCTCCGACCAGGTGACAGAATTGTGCGTCCTGATCCCTGGGGTGCTGGTTGATGTCGTGGTTGATGTCCTGGTTGATACTGCACACTGCACACATGTCACTGCTAAAAACTGACGTAGCTGAAGCTGAGGCCAAGCCCCGCGGATTCGTGCTGTTGGAGTTTCCTGGCGTGTGGAACATTGAACGGCGGATCATTTCACTCCTGAATTACAAATTTGACAACAGCAGATGCAGAGAGTGGGAATCGTTTTTCAACATGATCAACATGATCAACATGGACACATGGACAGACTTGTGCAGTCATTGTGCAGTCATGCAGTCATGCAGTCAGGTTGGGGGAGGGTACATTGATATGCCTTTGCTCAGCTTCTCCATTGGTTTGGTGGGAGATGGTGCCTTGGCTGCCTTGCCGCCCTGCCGTGGTGAGAAGGCTTTGCCGTGGAATAGTGATGAATAGTGCCTACTTGATCCCCAGTAGGGGCTTCCAGAGTCACTTCATTCACACCCTGACATGTGTTGTTTCTTTGGTTTTCTTTGGTTTTCTTTGGACAGTGGAAGAAAGGAAAGCGGTCAAGCAAAATCTGCATTTGTTTGGTCCAGAGCTTCAGCTTACCCAAAAGTTTAGCACCCATCTAGGAGTGTAGAAGGCTTTTAAAGTGACAGAGACCGAAAGTTTGCTAGTCAGCTTCCCAGGTGACTCTCTGGTACCGCGGCCAGTGCGAGTGGCCATTGGAGATGCGCAGGCTGCCAGGGGACCTGTCAAGTGAAAACACAAAATTTGCAATGCAAAGCCCACATTGTGAGAGATTTGAAGTCAGCAAGAAATACTAGTCATTGCATGTCATTGCCCTGGCAGGTCTTTGCTGAAATCTTTGGCAGAGAAGAGTCAGGTGCACGCTGTGTATGACTGGCGTCAGTAGCATCTTTGTCAGATATTCGTCTTTGGGAAAGCTGCAGTGCAGTGCAGTACTTCTCTGGAGACGACTCCATTGACTGCATGCAGTTTGGAGTTTTCTGGGAGGCGGCTGGTTGCTGGGGCTTGGTCCCAAGCCACTGAAGCCTGCAGCCCTCATTGGCCAGGACGGGTGAGGGAGCAAAGTGCTTGCACGGTCCCACCCCTCACGGAGCTCATTTCATTTGAGCTCTAGACAACTTGCCAAACACCGCTAGCGCCAGTGTTTCATGGGCTTCCTCTGCACATCCTCAGGGTCCACAGCCTCGAAAGTGGCACCACCAATTTCCGTAGTGGCTGAGAGGACATCCTATCGCAGCAACGGCATATTTTTTGTGCTTCCGAGCCTGCGCTGTATGCAGAACAACGATGTGCAGTGTCAGGTGCGACGTTGGCAGATGGCGTTTAGGGGTGTCTCTTTACCCCTGACAGATGTTGTTTAATTGATTTTAATTGGTTGGTTTCCCATGGTTTCCCTTTCCTTCCAAGTCATTCCAAATCTTCATAGTACAGGGAACGTTTTCATGGCGGCAAAAGGATCCATCCAAGGTCTTGCAGCCCAAAACCCATACCGCAGGATCATTTCGCCATCTGGGAGAGGGAGACTGTGTAGATGCAGAAGGGCAGCGGCTGGCAGGCCTACAGAAGCTAGGACCTGGAGACTTTGATGGACATTTTTAAAGGGTGCTCGGAGTGATGGGTGATAGGAAAGAAACCAAGAAACCAAACATGCGCCTGGAAAGATAGCAAAACAGTTCCAACTCGCAGGATGCACTACTGATGATGCTGCTTGGGAATGCTTGTCATTGCCTCCAGGCCAGATAATTCGAATCGAAACAGATTTCTGCAGCGATAGTCAGTAGGTGGTCGAATGAGTGACTACGAAGATCTACGAAGTGTTCCAATGTCACAAGGTACCTGTGCCGGCATTGCTGTGACGCCACAAGGCACATATCAGGCCAGCGAAAGATTGACGGTGTGAAAGACGCGCAGAACGTGCGGTTGTACGTGTGATTGGTGGCTGTGGCTGAGCCATGCACCTGTCATTCCTTACACCGTTTGCAGGGCCTTTGCTACATCTTTGTCAGCCAGACGGCCGGCAAAGATGAGGCCAGGGCACAGCTTCCCCTTGTGCTCGGGAAACTGAAGCCAGTAGCTAGAGCATTAATTACTTGCATTCTAATCTTTTAATGATGCACAGAAAGGGGAGTGAGAACCAGCGCCACGAGCCTTGTGCTATAGCCGCTACAGCTGCCATAGCTGCCTTTATCTTGCTAGCCAGGAGTTGAAGAGCCGAGGATTCCGACGATACGAGGCGCCACAAGGTCAAGAACTGGCACCTGCAGGACCAATGGCAGAGCTGGGGCGCTGTTGCTGTGCTAACCCAATCGGCACATGTGACACAGCTCATGTGATTTCGGTGCATTTCTTTGGTGCATTGGTGCATTGTTTTCATGGGCACTTTCCTGTTGTGGAGGATCCAGGGTAGCAAGGGCAGACGGCACCAAAGACGCGCAATGCTATCGGTGGGAAGCTGGTCGATGAGCTCAAGGTGGCTGGATTTGGGGGACGCAGAATGGCGAGATTTGACTGGTCATTTTCCTTTGCAAAACTTTGAGCCGAAAGAGAGTCATGTCCGAATCTGTAAAAACTTAGTATCATCAGAATCTTCCACAACTAAGAGGATTTGCTGACCTGGTCATTGTCAGCCTGATCCGACCTGATCCAACCTGTCAGGCTTTCCTGCTGTGAAGCCCTTGTTGCACTTTTGAACACTTTCCGCGGTGGACCGCGGTCAGATCGGTTGGCCTGTACATAGCATGCCCTGGGAAGTGAATTCCTCCTTTGAAATGGGCTGGATGTGACTCGACGTCACTGGGTCCTGACCAGGGGTTAGTTCCTCAGGTTGGACTAAACTGTATTTGTTATACTGATTTAGCTCTACGTAGCACGTTAGCTTGGGAGAAAAGGTCCGCTGCTGCTTGGAAGAGGATCACCGCAACTATGAAACCAAGCTACAAACTCGTTGAAGGCCGAGCAAGAGAAGGAGAGGGCGCAAGTGCACGATGCACGGCTGAATGTGGAGGCGGCAAAACTGCTCGGCATTGCCAGAGGTATTAGTGGTTGCTTTGGTGTGCAGGGAACTCCTGTATTTCAACCAACTGCCAGCTCAGCATGTAACAGAACCTATCAGAACCTGTTGTACTGCGTGTATGGGATTGGTTCCCACAAATGACGACTACTTTGCTTGCGCTCTTTGGCCCAGGCAGCCACGAGCCAATTACTGGACGGCATCGTTTGTTCCCCAGATGCGTCTCATTGGCTCGGAGAAATGCCTAAAATCCTGACTTGGATAACAACATTCCTGTTTTGCTTGGACAAAGACCAGCAATTTTCTTCAAAAGTTCGGCAGAAGACATTTCTTTCATATCGTAGATTGAGTGTAGTTCCTCATCACCCATAGGATCCATGTATGGTATATATGGTAACATTTACCATCAATATACCCCCAATGTTAGCATATATACCATACATGGATCCTATGGGTCATGAGCTGACGAGTCTGATGAGCTCAGGACTCTAAGATCGGTAGCTTGGAAGCAGATCGGAGTGGCCTCAGTGAGCAGGCGCTCCGTGTGCCAAGTTGAACCATGCAGTGGGCTGGAAGGGGCTTGAACGGGGCTTGAATGGGGCTGAAATCGGGTGGAAGCATTCTATGTTTGAAAACAGAAACGAGGCGGCAGTTGTGTTTGTCTTCGGCTGCTCTCCTCATCTCCCCTCCACATACGCTTGGGAGAAGATGAAGCCTTGGTCTAAAGTCCATGGAAGTTCCTACAGAAGCATTCCAAACAAGAAAAACGATGGTTTTGATCTGTCAAGTGTGTCAAACAAGCAGTTTGCGGAGCCTTTGTCATTGAAAACCATCATCAAGATCCCAATGTGCATGGCACACTCAAACGCAACGTTGGAATGCCATGGAGCCTGTCAAATAAACCACCATGAAACCTAGACCCTGATTTCTAGTTATATAACAATTGATAACAACATTACTATACCAAACAACAGTATGCAATCATAGTAATCATCACGACCAGTCATTACCACGATGACCACATATCACCACTCTGCATCACCATGGCGATTTTTGTTTTAGTCAGACATCAACGGGTCCATGGATTGAACACTTTCAATGTTTGGATGCGTGTTTCGCCAGTTTTCGACAGGTGGAGCAACTGGAGCTTGAAATCAAACACATTCATGAAGCCCACCTGGAGGAGCCGAAGTTGACGAACTCCATGAACTCATGACGCGTCGTGTCACGCGTCGTGTCACGCGTCGTGTCACGCGTTTAGAGGACATCAAAGCCCAACGCCGGTGGCATGCAGAGTCTGTCGAGCAGACTTTAGATGCGACATCGTTTTGCATGGCTCCCAGCGGCATTGCATTGCCCACCTTCAGACGCATGACCCGCAGCGGCTTTCGCCAAGGTGGTTTCCTCACCTGTCTTTGCTTCCGCGCTTGGAGAAACTTGCTGCAGGACCAGGCATGGATCTCTGTAAGTCTCTTTCAACGGTAGACTGACTTGCTCTACTAGTTCTAGTTCTATCTCTACGCGTGGGTCAGAATCGGTCCGCTGTCGTGGCAGGCTTCAGTGCGACAGCGCCGTGCCATGTGCCATCGTGCCACCGAATCTTTTTGTGGTAGCAGGGATGTGGCCCTCAAACGAGTCATGGCTGCATGTGGAGGGAGAGAGCCTGAGACAGCTGATGCAAAAAGACTCAGCCGACTAAGCCGACTAAGCCAGGAGCGTTTCTGGGGGCATGGTGCAATGCCCTGCAACAACGACAGCAGCAGCGAAGTTTTCAAACCATCTTGCGAAGAGCGTTCCAACGCTGCGACTCTTTCACGCCCGAGGTGCTGAGGTCTGGTGCTTAGGTGTTAGATCATCAGGTGGCCAGTTCATCACAGATGAATCGTATCTGAATAATTCATCATAATTCTGAATATCGAAGAAATTCCACACTGAGGCGCAGTAGCTTTGTGGCTTGGAAACTCCAGACCTTCACTCCAACCAAGGTGTCTTGCTGTATCTTGCTGTCTTGAGTTTGGTAATGTTTCCTACTACTATTATGTTTGGAAGAGAGCTGTTAGGGATGCCAGTTTGGCTCACTGATTTTCTCAGTTGTCTCATCTCTCTTCAGCTCGAAGTCTCTTTCTCAATCAGCATCAGGGTGCAGGAGAAAAGGGGTGGAGCACAAATGAGGGTTCATATCATACTTTTGCTGCTGTAGCGCCGCAAGATAAATGGAGAAACAATGAAAAACATAGAACGGGGAAATTTGCCTCAGCAATTCATAGCAATTCATAGCAATTCATAGCAAAGCATAGCAAAGCATAGCAAGGCATAGAGCTTGTTGTAGCTCTTGGGAGGCCCTGGCCTGGGAGACCATACAAAAGGCGAGAAAACGTGCAGCTAATGCAGCGCAGAGCGAGCTGTTAAGGAGCCAAGTGGTATGTTTGTGAAATTCACAACTCTGACAAGTGGAAAACTTGCTTGTCACACCGGGTGCAGGTCGTTCTCTCGGTATGTCCCAATGACTTCTCGGGTCTCGGGCTTTCAGGAGCTGTCTTCAATGGTGGATGGTGCGACTTCAACAGGCCAGGCCCGGCCAGGTTCACACGCGGGACTGGCATCAGCATCTTATGTGAAATGGAAGCACTTCAGGGCGGATAAGTTTAAGACGGTAGAAGATGCCTCCTGAGGAATTCAACAGGTCACTTCATGCATTTGAACCTCCATTGGCCATTGGACCTCAAAAAGACACCAACTGACGTTCTTTTGCGAAACATCACATGAAACTCCCTCTGCCAAGGCACAACTGCAACGAGATGCAGAATTGCAGAGGGCAGAACTGCTGAATCTTCTGAAGCAGATGGAACAGCAGCAAGAGTCTGCTCGGGCTGCTCGGCACAGAAGAACAACAGTTCCTGTTTGCTCACAGGTGAGCAACCGTGAGCTACAAAGGGGATATGTTTCAGTGCTGGCTACAAAGAACTATTGGATCATGATGGACCATGATGGACCATGATGGACCATAATGGACCAGTACCAAATCATCATTTGGTCCTGGCGAACGTGCGACTTCGCCACAAGGCCTTGGAGCTGACCTTTCAGGACGTCGACACGTCGTAATGCTTCCCGATGCTTCGCAGATGCTTCGCCGATGCTTCGCCGATGCTTCGTGGTTTTGTTCACCCAGCGCCCGCCAGGAGAGTCAGCAGCAAGCGCAGGCGGCGGCTGAACAGCTGTTGGCCAACGAGAAGGATCAGACCGCTGCGCTTGAGCCGTGGAGCTTAGAGCAGGGCGGAGGGCACAGCAGTGCTGTTTGGGAGCTCCCAAGTGCTAACTGCTAACCGTTCTGCTAACAATCCAACTACACCTTTAGGGATATGGACATAGTCTCACCAATGAGGCTATGTAAGTAGACTTCTCAACAAGTATGGAAGTCGACTGCAAGGAGATCAAACTCTAAATATCCATGAAATTCCGTTGGAAAGAATCCATGAGAATCATGGGTTTCCAGTGAGAAGATGAAGGTCTTTCTTGTGAGGTTTTTTTGTCACAATCCCGGCAATTGTCACAAAAATCCCAGGTCCAAATTGAACAGCGCAGAAGAGCGAGAGAAAGAACTGCGAGCAGAGGTCGCACGACTTGCTGTGCGGGATCTAAGTTGTTCTGGACCTGGTTGATCCTGGTTGATCCTGTTGATCCTGGTTGCACCTTGCATAGACACGTTGGAAGATTTATCCTATCGGACCTATCGGTCCGCTCCGCTAAGGATTTGCTCACCGCTGCGGAGTGCGATGCCTTGCAAAAAACCAGTGACTTCACTGCTCTTCAGGAGAACCGAGAACCACTTTTCATGTTTCCCAGATGAGAAACACATGGAAATACAGGAAATGCCCTTATTGATACCACTGTCCTGTCTCGCTTTGAACCTGACAGCTCGGTACAAGTACAAAGCTCTCAACTTGTGGGATTTTCAAATGCTATTCCCTTTCAACACCAGCTTGATGTGTGCATATGATTCATATACATATATTATATTCATATGATGCATGAACAGCTTCAGGCACATGGTCACATGTGGTGTTTCTGTTCATGTCGCTTTTAGAGAAGTCAATGGCATTTGCCAAGCACAGACACCACGTTTTTTCAGGAGCGCTGTGGCAGTGAGTTGGATGAGATGCGCAGAGAATGCCAGGAGGCTGTGGCTGCTCAAATGGAGCTGCAACGCCAGGAGAGCGGAAGTTCCACCGATCTGACCACATTTGTTGCATCTAAAAAACCACCGATCCCACAATCTCGGAGTGGGAACATATTCAGAATTCTTGAGAATTTGTAAGAGACGCGCTAGGAAGCTTCTGTGGCTGGCCGACTGGCAAGGGTCACCCAACGAGTGACTGAACAGGAAGAGGACTTGCGCCGGTTCCCGTGCTGTCTGGTGCATGCCGTGCTCTGAAGTCCGAAGCAAGATTAGCATCGATTAGCCATGATTAGCCGATGATTAGCCGATGATTAGCCAATGATTAGCCGATGATTAGCCAATGATAGCCGACATTTTGAATGAGCATCCATGATGATCCACGATGATCCATGATGCACACAACCAAGCTACGTGCCATCGAATCCTGGGAAGCTCGGTCAGGAAGTGGATGAGCTGCGCATTGCTCTGCAAGGGGAGCGAGCAGCTCTGTCCGTCCTTCGGAGCCAGCAGCTGAATGAAGCCGACGGAGAAACCGATGCAATGAACTCCTCGACAGAGCCAGAATCATCCTTGAGATCGTCATAAACCTCACCTTGCGTGTCCACTAAACATTGACATAGCCATAAAAAAATCATCCTTTTTGATTCTTTTTGTTTGTCTTGTCTTGGCTTATTTTGGCTTGTAGACTGTCTAGATGCTCACCTGAGGTGCTGAGCTGCAGAATGATCCCGCGCCCATGGCCTCACGTCGCAGTGGTGCAAGCCTGCCGGCCATGTCGCCACTACAGCCGGCGTTGGATGAGGTGGCCAAGCGATGGCGCTTGGAGCACAGTCATTCCGTGTCTGCCATCCACAAATCAGGCCTCAGGGCCGCAGGGTCTCAGGGTGCCGTTGTTGGGATATGAGAACCGAAGAGAAGACCCTTGTGACACAGGCGATTTTAATGCGTATTGGAATGGGGCAGGGACAAAAGGAGACCCACTTTTAGGAAGGCCTCACACAAGCAATCTGATTGGTCTTGATGTGTCTCAGGTACTTTGCCTGTGAGTCTTCCAGTGTCCGGCAGGTTGCGGGGATCTGTTCTTTAGCCTTGATTCATATCAGTTGCGCAACAACTGACTGAACGCCCAGGCTCTTAGACTCTTAGCGCATCAGATTGACTTGAGAGATGCATTTCAAGTCAAGCTACGTTTCCAGAAGCGCTGCTGCGAATTCACTGGCAGCAAAAAGTCCTCCCGTGCGCCCCTGAGTGCAGTGGTCCGTTTCTGTTGACAACCTGAGCAGGCTAGCCATGGCTAGCCTCAGTTTTGGATCCAACATTATGCCTTGATTCCGCCGGAGAGTGGTGTGATATGGTGTGATAATGTCGGTTCTAGCACGTCAAGCCTCCTTGGTTTGTCTCGAATTGTGTCATTGCGGCGATCCAAATTTAAGCAAACTGCATGCGAACATGAAGCTGTTTCGGTCTGAGACTGTGAAAGGGGCCATGGATGACGCGGCCATTACATTTTGGATGATTCATGTTGCACAAGTTTCATTTTATTCATTTTTCTTGCTTTCATAGTCTTTAAAGTCGACTGACTTTCCAGTCAGGGATTACGGGTGAGAATTTATATACTATGATTTTGTGACATTTCGGTAGAAGTTGAACATTCAAAACAAATGCTGGAATCGCCATGTGCCTCAACCCAACACTGTCAACATGGTTTTACAAGAAAATCGGAAGTTTGGGATTGGTGCACGCCATTCGTCATTAAGAACAAGTGCCCAAAGTTTTTTTTTTATGTCCAACAGCTTCTCCAGATGTGTCAATTCGCAAGCAGTTGCAGGTACTGACTGTTCTTTTAGCTACTGACGCATGAAGATTTGCACACCAGTCGCACGCCGTTCCATCCTGTGACAGTGCAATGTGTGCCATGCATGGTGCTTGTACTCCGAATCGGTTTGGACTTTTGGACCAAAGGGTCCTGCTGAAATGTTGAAACTCCTTGTGACATTCGCCTGGTGGAAGATGACACTCTTTGCAGAAAATGCAGAAACTTCCACAAGTCTCTCTGCTCTCCTCGGGCGACACTGAAAGCACAAGTGGAAAAACAAGATTAGCGTTGCTAGAAAGTCACCCAGGCAACGACCAGTTCAAGTACCTTTGGTCTACGCCCGGTTTGACGTTCCAACGCTGTAAGGCCCAACTTCTACAGCAGCCATCCAAGCTATGCAATCGGTGACACGGGCAACCTCACATTCATTTGTGGAAGACCTTGCAGTCCAAGCCAAAGTGTGCGGGCAAACAGGTCCCCATTGGAAACTTTGTGCAGACAGGACACATTTGGCTCTGCAAGCATTAAAGGTGAGCAACAGAGCTTGCGGGAAGCATTTCTTGCTGAAGGACATGAATCTCGAACGGGAGTCTGTAAAGTCATTCTTATTGTTGTGAGGGCGCAAGTTGCTGAATGTCCTTCCGTTCTTTGTGGGAAGGCAAACTTATTTTGAATATTTTTGCCGTTTATATGAGTTTATAGTATATGATGTATATAGCATTCGTGGTGTTCGGCCACTGTGAAGCAATCGCCTTCAATAGCCTCCGGAACCGCTAGCCAGAGCAGTCTGGCGAGCTAAATGTGGCGGGACTGTGTTTGTGGCAGCTTGGTGGTTGTGAGTTTGCTTGTTTTGTGAGATTTGCCAACATGCCACAACATGCCAAGTTAGACAAATTGCACGGACACCTGAAGATTTCTTGCCAGTCTTGGTGCAGAATGGTGCAGATGTTTTGCAAGATAAACTCGTGATGCCTCTTCACTGCAGATTGCGGGGTTGTGTGTTTTGGTTTTATTTTCTTCGCGATGTTTTTTTTTGAGTGAACATCAGTCGACAGTGACCATGGACCACTGATTTGCGTTTTGCGTTGTTTTGAAACACACTGTTCTGTTGACTTTGCTAGTGGTGTGTCGCAAATGCGATTGTGCACGTAGCTTATTGGTTCAAATTCAAATTGATACCAAGCTGCTTCGTTTTGTTTGTTTTGTTTTCAGTGCATGGGGTGTGGACCTCATTTGTTCACCTGAGTGCCAGGGGATTCATTGTGTCTTCCTTGGCTTTGTTTGAAAACTTGGGAACACATTTGCAGCAATGGATCGTTCAAGAACAACAACAGTGATTGCCAAATCCAAGGTCAACGACAAAAGTTTTCAAGACCGATGGCATTGGTTGGTTGCCAGATGTTCAAGACACCAGATGTGAAGTCAATCCCTCTCCGTTCCTCAGCGTCGAAAAAGAGGGTTCTGGGTACATTGCTGTGATGGCATTTTCCTTGCAGAACGAATGTGAGATAAGCTTAGATAAACAGATATACACAGTGTATCACAATGTTTTGCTGTTGTGGTACAAACAGGCCTTCACAGGCCTTCTGCGCGTTTTAGGATGACCATCCAGATGGGCCAGCATCTGGGAGGACAACCGAACTATAGCTGAAGAAAATGCAGACAGATCCAGCAGATCCAGCTGAGGCCTTCGAGTAGTTCACCATCTTTGCCCAAACTCTTGGAATGCCCTCAGCGCAGTCCAAGAGTTTCGCCTTCGCATGTAGCTATAGCAGCTACACAGGATGCACCTGTGCCTCCTGTGCCGGATCACTCCAAGAGTGCAGCTGACATGCAAACAGAAACTTGATTATCCGTTTCGGTTTCACACTATTGAGATCCGATGAGCCATCAGCCATTGATGCTGAGTAGATATGATATGATATGATATATAATGCTTAATCTTTCTGCTGAGAATGCTGATTGAGCTTCATTTTGCGGTAGCCATTTCAGAGTGGGTTGCAAACTAAGGCATTGGCAAAGCGGCGGATCTAGCCTACATTATGATTCTGTCCAAACACACAATAGTGAGTACATTTGATTGCAATTGGAGGACTGCATTTTCTGTGCTGATTCTCCAAAACTGAGGAGCATGTCTTTGCTTTCCAGCCAGTCCGAGACCCACATAAAGGCCGGTTCAAGAGTCCTTCACAAAATGCTTTGGTAAAACCACCTGGACAGGCTTACCAGATGAGAAAAAGCTTCACGCGACCCAAGAATTGGGTGCTGCTTTTTGGCTGGTTCTTGGCATCTTGTGCAGGATTTGCCGCTTGTCAGCATTGTCAGCAGGTCAACCCCGCGGTTGGAGTTGGCCATGTTGGCGTTGCAAGCTGCCCGATTGTATCGATTGTCAGGTCAACACCGTAACGTACCTGAAATGGCAGATGCAGCTTGGATGGACTGCTTTTGGATGAAACATGTCCGAACATTTCTTCAGCAGTTTCTGAAACATTCTGAAACAACATCCAAAGTTGATCCAAATTGGTCCATTGCTTAGCGGCTAAGGTTTGTGTCTCACATGACAGGCACCTCTACAAAGATAGGGATGCACCTTGAGGGCTATGATAATGGCGACAACACCCACTGGGAAGTGTGCAAGGCCATGGGTAAAGTTGAAAGATGTTGAAAGGATCCAAGAGAAAGGTCATGTTTCTATGTTCCGTACGCAAGGCACTGGCAATTCCAGTGCCACAATGCGTCACGATGTCACGATTTTGCTGTTGTGATTTTTGTTGTTTCTCAAGCTGAGAACTGTTGCGTTGTCCCTGAAGGCTGTTGGCTTGGTGATTGCCTTTGTGCTGGGAGCCTTCACATGTGGATTGCTTTTTGGCAAGCAGTTCGTTTGTAAACAAGGCTGGTGAATTGGAGATTACGGCATTTTTTCCCAGAAACCATGCGGTGAAGCGGTTTAAAGCTTCCTCTTGGGCAATTTTGGTCATGACGTGATTAGAAGCACTCCGACTTGATCCAACTTGCCCAGTTCTGCCACACTGAGGCTTATAGACAAGAATCAGGCGAAGCTCCAGCAACAAACTTTGAAGCACAGTGTCTTTCATTTGAAGACTGAGCTAGGACTCTGGTGCTGTGTTTTCCATTCTTTAGATTTTTTAAACACCATCTTTTAGCTTTTTTGCATAGGTTCACTTTGGAGGGAAGTCCTGGTATGGCTTGGCTTTGGTTGGCGTCTCAGTGAAAAAGGAGACCAAAAAAAACCAGCGTTCAAAAGTGCGTGCTGCCCAGACCAACTTGTTTGATCTTTGGGCCTAAAGATCTCTCTGATATGTCTGACATGTTTACTGTTATGCTATGTTTCGTTGCAGTAGCACTTTTTCCCCAAACAGTGTGTCCACACTGAGGGGTTCTTATCGTAGGAGCTAAAGTGCCGGGCCGGGGTTAGATCAGGGTGCTCCATCTGATCTACGGCCATTTTGCTGTAAATTCTCGCACAAAAGTGCCCTCGTGAGATGTCCATGTGCATTTCTTCTGCGCCAGGCTTGCAAAAAAGGGTTGTCGCGGTTTGCCTCGGGCTCATTTTTGTGGTAGGCGCAGTCCTTTGTAGACCTCCGCAAAAAGTGGCTGAAACCTACAACACGCTCGCCACTTTGTGCACGTCGGATCGCTCTCGTTGCGGCGCGGTGCGAATTTTGAAATCGCTCGCGCCACCCTGTCGGCACGTTGCGCGTCTCGGATCGCTCCCGCCGGCGGCGTGGTGCGAATTTCCGCAATGAAGATCTTGACCAAGGTCTTGCAGAGGTCCTTGTGAGAAGATGTTATGAAGATCCTGGTGAAATCCTGTTAAGAGGTCCTTGCATGATCTTGTACAGGTCCTTGTGAGATCTTCTGTAGATCATGCTGAGATCCCCCAGAAGGTTCCGAGATGTCCTTGAATGAATGATTTTGCACAGGTCCTTCTGAGAAGATCTTCTGGAGATCCTGGTGAAGTCCTCTCTAACAGGTCCTTGCATGGTCCTCTACCGGTCCTTAACAGAAGATCTTGCGGAGATCGCGATAAGATCTTCGCGAAGATTTTGCGGATGCCATGTATTGCAGGTGCTTCTTTGAAAGCTCTTCAGGGATTCTCTTGAGAAGTTCTTGTGCCAAGATCTTGTAAGATCCTCTCACGCAGCAGCAGGTTCGTTTGTGACGATCTAGTGGGATTCTGTCAGGGGTCTTGGCATGAAGATCTTGGTCCCTTTTACAGTTCCTTGTGAGAAGCTCTTGCAGAGATCCTTGAAATCCCTTTAGAGGTCCTTGCATGATCTCGTACAGGTCGTTGTGAGAAGATCTAGTGAAGATCCTGTTGAAATCATCCTCAAGAGGTCCTTGCATTAAGGTCTTGCAGATGCTCTGCACCGTTGCATGTATGACAGTTCTTCTGGGATTTTTATAGGAGGTTCTTGTATGAAGATCATTGTGAGATCCCCTATATAGAACATAGAAGTGCCTTCTTTAACGATCTGGTGCAAATTTCTTAGATGTCGTGCTATGAGGTTCTGGTATGAGGTCCTGATGAGTAGACATAGCGCTGCTTCTTGTGCCAAAACAATTCCTGCTGCGGCAGTTCCGGTAACGTCTAACCTGTTACTGTTCCATAGCCACTGTTGCTTGTATCTGGTACATTGATTTCCTACCCCCTACACTGTTTGGGGTCTCTTTCCGGTGGTAATGTTTTTTCATAGCTTTCAGGTGCTCAATGGAGTGCTTCTGATCACTGCGACGTTACTCCCAGAGATGCCAACCACATCTTGTTATTTGTCTGCTATGGCCAGTGGTCTACAGTACCCCGGCGATGGTGTATACACAGTCTCCCCGCAGCAACTCATGCACCTTATTGACGGCAATCTACGGATATGCCCGGTTTGATCCGGTTTCCATGTTCTTCATGGAAATGCTTTGCCTTTGTTAAGGAATGCCATGTGCACCTCGCATTTCGGTGCAGTTGTGTGATTCTCAGCTGATCCCCGTTACTGACGCGGTCTTCCGTACGCGTGTTGCGCTGCTAAGAACTGCTGGGGTGAAAATCGCTTTTGATTTGCTGCTCAAGGCTTATGATTGATAGTACTGCAAAGTAATCATGGTTTCCTTGGATTTGAGGTTCGGACCACCCATGTTACTGGGACTTTGACCGACATTGGGTCCATCCTGGGACGCATTGCAGTGATGTATATTCGGAAAGGCTCGATCACTGATAGCGGTCTCTCATTTGATCCCACGGATGAAAGGTGTTTGATAGACGATCCGTCACCGCGGAGTCTTGAATCTGATAGAAACACATTCCAAAAGCTGTAAAGGTGTTATCATGTGTTATCCAACTTCAGCTGCTTGGGCATGGGTCGACGGTCACTGATATTTGCCATATGAACAGCCTGGACGTGTTCTGGATTTTTGGGCTTGCATCGAATCGTATTTCTTGGATGTCGTCGCTTTTGAGTCATGTAAGAGACGCGAAGGGAACGGTGGCCGTCATCATGGATGAGTCATGCTGGCTCACATGTTGTCTTGTTGTCTGATCTGGCGATGAATGCTTGGCGTGGTGGTGAACTCTTGATAGATGTCCTTGCAGTATTTTGAGGTATTTTGTGGCAATTCTTTAGTGACATGGCGCTCTTTGCAAGGTCTTGGGAAAGAGGTTGCTGTGGTGTTTTGGGCTTGTGTTGTGATAGACTGGTCGTATTGTGTTGGCGCTGCGATGGTTGTTGGGAGCCGGATCGTTTGATGGTGCAAGGTGCTATGATTCCAAAGCAATGCGATCAATTCGCTCAGTTTCTGTCATTTCTGTCATTTCCTGCAGGCTGCCGTGGATCTCGCTTTAATGTGCTGGAGAAGGCGAGGTGACTTGGTGACTGAACGACAGACTCGAGGTGAATTTGCTGTTCGATAGACATTCCAAGTGTTTCGTTGGCACAAGTAGTTTCAGATAGTGACAATGCATTTGGAAGCACCTGAAGATTTCCTCGAGTAGATGTGATATAGTGATGACGACGATATACGACGATGATGCGGTGAGGCGGAACGCGGTGTGGACTTGCGGAAGCTGTTGGTGCTTCTTCCGATGTGGATCTTCTTTCTACTGGGCACAATTTTTGGTGCCTGGGCTAAAAACACATGGCACATCATGGCACCATGTTGCCAGATGTTGCCAGCTGGACCTTTGCAACAACTTCAGGATTTGAGGCCCTCAAGGCTAGGTCAACTTTTGTGCAAAGCTAAAAAGCGTCTGCAAGGCGCTTTTGCTGAGCGGCTCCTGGACAAAGATGCTCTTTTTATTCCGGCCTTTGCCACAACATTCCTTGGAGTCGTGTACATGACCTTAAGGCTCCACGTTATTCACAGTGCAGGTACTTTCCGTATGACTACTGTAGCACTGTAAAATGGCAACGCTCATGAATTTTCATTATGTTCGTTATTTCAGGATCTCTTGCGCCCTGTTTGCTGTCTTACTCTTTTCTTCATTGTAGAGCTTGCTAAATCCGCGTTTGTTTGCCGCGCAGGCAGGTTTTGTCAGACTTGTTTCAGAGATTGGAGAAGCAGTCGTTGCGTGAGCGATTGCGGGAAGTCTGGGACCCAGCTTCGCGTCTTGTCATGCAACCCCAAAAATCATGAAATATCTACTGTAGATAGAGAATCCACCATGGGCCGCCAGCCTCTGGACCACCAACTTTTTTGAGTCTATCGTTCTGGGAAATTCAGGGATCCCAAGTTTGTGAGTCGGAAGGGTGATGTACAGTTGGTGCAGGTGCACTGTGCCTTCGCGCGTGCAGGGACCAGGTGCGCTATCAATACAGCCTGAGCCAAGAAACCATACAAGGCCTCTGACTCCAAAGGGTCTCTTTTGTTTTGTTTCGTCCCGCAAAAACGTACGAAAGAAAGGAGACACAGAGTGTGTTTTGAGAAGGGGACCATAATTGGTTTCGAAAGCAACGCCGTCCTCCCTAGGTACAGTATGTTTTGTATGCTTCGAGACAAGTCTGAGTCTAGTACCAGCTTGCGATTTTTTTTCGCCCATTTTCCTCGGGTTGGGACGGGCTGGGAGTGTTCAAACGCAGAACCCTTTTTTCTTGTAACAGATCAACTCCCAGCCAGATCCTTTTCCACAGAACTCAATATCAACAACTGCTGGTTTGATGATCATTATCCCTATTAAATGGCTATTTCATTGGGAATATACCCAACATTTTCCCAGTGGTATCTGTATCACAGTTTCTGCTGGTTTCCAGGATTGCCGAAGGTGAATCCGACGAATTGGACGAGATCGATGAAGAGATGCTCAGCCTTGACCAGTTCAGCTTTTCCTCACACCGTGGGTGACCACTCAGCGGGTAGATGAACATTTCCAACATACTAACAGACCAACAGAGTCTATCAATGTTTGACCCTTATCCTCATCATTCCTCATCTATGGTAGGATTTTCACCAACATCTTTGCTCTGGCCTCCAAGGCAGGTGAAGGTACCAACCAAAGTTGTGATATGTCTCTTCCAAGGATCGGCGAGATCATGCTAACTCTGGGTGAGGTGCTGTGCAAAGAGTGAGATATGGGTGTGTCTGAAAATGTCGTGTACCCCTTTTTACCCAATGGTTTTGCTGATCATTATCCCGTTTTTAAATGGCTATTTCATTGGGAAGATTAACCCTATTTTCAGACAAACCCATATGGACTCATGGAGTTTGATGTTCAGAGATGTTCAGAGTGTGCCGTGCCTCGTGAGTTTGATGCTTTTTGACCATGAGTGCAGGTGGAGACGACCGCGGGAAACACTCAAGTAAACTGAGATGGAGACTCTCCGGTTTCACTGTGCCATAAAGGTCGCACTTTGTCAGTGCAGAACTCCCCATTATGATATGCCTTCACGGAGGCTGTTTTGAAGCCATTTGGCCGCTCGCAATTGGTGATCAAGACCCCGAGGTCCGCATTGTGCCCAACATCCATATCCGCTATCCAGTCCAGGCTATCCAGCCTTTTGATTTCGACCTCCAGCAATTCTTAGGAGCATTAGACTCATTAAACACAATGAAACCTTTTCTCAGATCTTTTTCAGATCATTTTATGGCCGAGTCTCCATTGCGTTGGGATCTGCAACATAAAGAGTTCTTGGATTCTTTTGATTGTCGTGTGCCACTGTGTACTGATCACAGATCATGTGGTAACAACCTGGTATCATGTGGTCAAGTTGGAAACCGTAAATCTTGGAGATCTTGGAGATCCGGTTTCAGTCGTTTGACCTTGGGGATCCGGGCCCGTTTTGCGAGCTGTAGCTCTTTGTTAAGACAGTGTTTTCAAGCCCGGAAATTTGAAAGGCGTCGGAAATCTCAGAATGGACGCGCGATCAAAGAATCAAAGATGGATTTAGGTTGCGCGATGATTCAGCTTTCAAGATGTGTATGGAGGTGCCTAGAAACAGACACACGTGCATACATGGCATACGCAGCATACATGTCATACAACGTGAGGCAAGGTTACAGATACGGGGTGGCTTATTTCTTCCCACCTAACAGAGCAATGCCTTCTGTTTGATGCTATGTATTTTCTGCCTCTGAATGCAGCTGTTTGACTTCAGAGGCTTATTTCTGCACCGTTGGAATCATGCCCATGTGACCTTCTGTCATGAGAAGAGGATGTGGTGCAAGTGCAAATGAGAAAAATAGGAAACTATCTAGAATCTACAGTTGTTCAGTCCAACGTATTTTGACGGGCAAGCTCCTGCCATGATGTATTTTGTGCAGCTTGCGGTGCTTGCGCCAGTGATTGCACTTGGAGAGGCGGGCCTACGTTTCAAGTTTGGCAGACCTCCACACTTGGAGTATTGCAGTTTTGTAATGTCTTGCCCGTGAGCCTTCACAACTGGGGCCCAGTAAGCATCCAACAGCCCAGAGGCAGGGGAGCCGAGTTGGGCTTCCTTGGACGATGAATGTGAAACTGAAGGATGTGCGTTGCAAGCCCTGCAACGGGAAGGACTGATTTGGTAAATCTGTTGAGCTCAAAAAAAGATCCACTGGGTCCTTCTTGAGTTTCTGGGCCAAAACATGGCAAACACAGACCTTGAGCGTGATGTAAAGCCATTCAAACTTGTAATGTTGGATATTGATCAGAAAGGATTTCAATTGAAATCAATTTACTTTCAATTCATTTGAATTCACTTTCAATTGATTTTCCTTCTACTGCAAATCTTGAAACAACAAAATCGCCCCACACGTTTTTGTGCACAATAGGGTACCATCCAAACAATTACATTATTGAGGATCTGGGTCACTCATGGGGTACCCGTTTGAAAAATTGTTCGGGTGCTGTTTATTAATAAGGATTTAATAAGGCATCTGATTATTTGGGGAACCTTGCATTTTCAAGGCTTTAACATGGATATGGCTTTCTAAAGTAAATGGCCAACTTTACGCAAAGAAAGGTGTATAAAGGTGGATAAAGCTCCTCCTGAAAACAAATGGATCTGAGAAACAGAAATCTTCTTCAATAGAGGCCCACCCCACCATTTTCAGGATACTCAATAATCTTTAAAAAGAACTCACAATAGAGGCCCATGACACTAATCGGTATCCAACGTTAAGGAATAGATTTCTCGCGGCATCATTGCTTTTGATTCAGAGTTTTCCGTTTTGTCAAACTGTCTTGATTGGAGTTTTGCTCTGCGGAAGAGCTTCAGTGGGAGGACTCAAGAAAGGCGATGCTGATTCAGCCTGGACTGAGGCCACAAGTCTGAATTTTGATTTTCAAAAAGTTCAATGCACCCTGGGTGCAGCTTGAATACTTTTCGCTTCTGTTCTGGGACTTGGATTCCTACAAAATGAGCATCCCTTCAGGTGATGTCTGCTCTAGTTCCTCGCATCCAGAAGCTGGTCTTTGAGAACAACGAATTAGCCGTGTCCAAGGAAATGAGAGATGCAATGAAGGGCACATGCCTAAAACTCGACGAGTACCGCACCAGTGACAAACCTTTCTCTGATCACTGGCAATGTGCTGCTGTAGACAATGACAACTTTGGTGCCGGTGCCTATTGTCCCAGTGAACGCGTGATCGAATCGCTCAGTGAGTATGCCGGTATTTCAAAGCGGACTTTCTCCAAATTTCACTTGCGCTCCAACAACGAAAGTGATACACTCTATGGCAAATGGTGTGGAATGCCTGCACCTCCCGAGTACGAACATCCCTATGGTGGGCCTGTTGGCGCGCGCGTATTCTGGGAGGACAACAGACAAAATGCACTTGAGTTGAACAGCTTAAGATAAAGACTGTTCGTGATGGCCTTCGGGCTGTTCGTCTTTCGATGTCTTTCGGCTAGGACTGTGTCATGCGAAACGCCGGCTACTTCAATGCTTTGATGTGTGCTCCTTGCCTCAAATGCTTGCGATGTAAGGCACGTTCGACATGACAGACTTAACGCTTGTGAACTCACATTTTCACAGAGAACATGCCATCTTTGTTATCTCCCCCTCTGTGGTTTGGCCATGTTTGTCCACCAAGGATACGAAGGACTCCTATGCGGTGTTGGGTATTGCTGCTTTGAACCATGGAGTATGTTATCCAGCTCACCGACATGACAACCAGGCCACCGCAAGTTGTTAAACCTTGGATATTTGCATCAGTGACGTGTTGCAGGTGTTTCCGAGAATTGGTCTTGAGTCTTGATGTCAGGATGACACGAGAAATTGACATCCCTGGAGACAAACTCCAAACATCCTTCCAGTATCTTCCAGTCATATGCCTCATTGTTCCTCGTGGATGAATCACAGCGTAAGACCACGTCAACAGCAGCGACTCAATTACCTTGAGATCACAAAGTATTCAATTTTTCCACTTGATGAAGTATTTTTCTTAGTGTAGAGGATTTCCAGATGTTTTCACTCAAGAAACCTGAAACTGCCCAGAATTTCACTCAGGAAATTCCCAGCTATGGGCCCAACTTCCACGGCCAGGAAGCCTATTGGCAATTGAACGGTCCGGGTTGGTGGAGGACGTGGCCCGACAACTTTACCTCGGCGCCCAACCAAAAGCCTGCGACTCAGGGATTTCAGGACATCAAAACTGGGGATTTCAGGTGGTATAAAACCTTACAAAACCTTATAAAACCAACCATTTTATACATTCTGTATAAGACTTATACCCATTTATGGGGATATACATGGTAACTAAGCAACGAATATGATATTTGGATGTGCCTGAAAATGGGGGATTCAAACCCCAGCTATGGTGACTCTATACGGAAAATCATGATTCATCAGTGGATGGAATGGGGTATCAAAATTTCAGACAAAGCCAAATGACTTTGCCAACGGAGTGGATGAACACCAAGGCCATATTCTGAGATTCGGATGACAAGTCCAAAGGGTTCATGGCGACTCCACAATCATCCAGGACAGGGATGAACCGCCGATGTTGCCGATGTTGCCGCTGATCTTTGCTGATGTTAGGGAATTGACATTGCATGCTCATGCTGAAGCTCATCTCCACGGCTCGACCCAGGTTCCTTAAAGTCAACATAAGTCAGTGATATAGTGCAATTATCACCTGTTCACTATTTCCCAGCTCTTCTAGGTTGATCTCGTCAAGCTTCCCGTCCTCTTGTAGGCGGACTCATCCATGAAATGGACACCACCCATGACGATGACTTCCTGCTGGCAGTTTATTGGTGGGGGAAACCCGTTGACACCGAGGTGAATTATGCTTACAGCAGCTAGGACGATTTAGGGGAAATGGGGACTTTTGCCTCTTTCTGTAATCAAAGTCACCTAGAGATGTGTTCAGTCAAATCACCCATCTGCAGCTCAGGCCATGCTGTCCAAGAGCAGGGCTCCTGTTTCGCAAGTTACCGCGCAGAACACAGCGACGTTGCTCACAGCTGCCCGGAATTGGCACGCCCTCCTTGGGCCGTTTTCCGGAGATGAGTTGCTCTGCTTTGTTCAACTTGGGACAGATTTACATAACACTCATGCAACAGATGTACAATGATGTATATAGATGTATCATGATGTAACATAGGTACTTTTGGCGGCCTGCCGGTGCGGCCCCGGATCTGGATCCTCCTCTCACTTTTCGGGCAGCGCCGAAAGTCAAAGAGCTTTCTGCGCAGCGCAACATCAACGCAACATCCCATGGCCGAACTTGCAAAAGTCTCTGCAAGTTTCCGAGAGTTTGGCACTTTGACCATTCTGTCAGTTCCAGACTGTGTGTAACAAGCGTGAACAACTCAACAGATGCTGCACACCAACCTTTACAAAGGAAAAGTACAGTGATGCAGTGACTATGCAGAGATTGTTGAGTCTGCGCAGAGGCATTTTTGTCTTGCGGCAGTTGTTATCAATAGTAGTAGTAGTATCAATAGTAGTAGTAGTATCAATAGTAGTAGTATCAATAGGATTAGATAGCTAAGACCTCTATCCATGTTTTCCGGGACGGCTTGAATGGCTTGAATCCTGAACTGGAAATAGTTGCTGATGATTTCCCAAGGCAGATACACAGCCAGCATTACCAAGATGCTCAGAAAAGTTTCAACTTGCCACTGGCCTCAGGGTGAATCCATCCAAACATATCCAATCGGTGCTTCCAAGCACAGTGTCAAACACCATGCTCTCCTCCCCCCAAAGAAACAGTGACATGTTAGGAAAATCCTTAGGCTTGTTCGTTTTCCAAACTTTCCAAACCATTGCTTGTGATGCATCTTTGAGACATGGATGAACAACCCGAGTGGCACACCAAGAGATCTACGGTAGAGAGGCAGCTTTTAGAGCTGCGCACAGAGAGGGAGTCTCTTCGGAAGCAGGAGCAGGAAGCGCAAGCCCGGAAGGCCGAGATCGAACGCCGCGCGTCTGAAGAGGAGAGTGCATTGTTGGCAGCAGCAGATGTCGCAGACGGAGCCAATGTGGCAGAAACATCGGCTCTACGCGAGCGCATGGCCATGGTGAAGGATCAAGCCGAGGATGTTTTGGTAGAAGCTGATGAACGGGAACACGAGTTCGCCGAGGAGGGGTTCAGCTGCGGCCACTCAGCGGGTTCACAGCCAAAAAAAGTGATGTCCATGTGGGTGATTTCATGATTTTCATATGTTTTTATAGTTTCACAGTGTCGATAATTGTCAAAATGAGGACCGTCACGGGGCTTAAAAGGGCAACGTCCCTATTATGTCCCTGTAGTATCCCTGTGAGGAGTGCCGACACCTGCGGGTGGACAGGATTGAAGCCGAGAAGGGACTGAGGGAGGAGACCAAGAAACTTAAGGACCGGTGGAGCTTTGTGGGGGCGTTGACGATTTTATGCAAGACTGTACAAGCTGATGATATCTTGTAGTGAACGGAAACAATTAGGTATGCCTCGACAGATTTTGATATATGTTACATTATGCCACTATGTTTCCAATTTGAATATTTTCAGAATCACAGTAGAAGTCATGTTTCAAGACGGCAAGACGGATGCGAGCCGTGAAGGTGTTCTCCAAGAACATTGACGAAGTGGAGACTGAGTACCACGAAGCTCTGCGGAGGCAAACTGCAGAGTTGCAGACGAAGCGACAAGAAAATTGGAAGAGACGACAAGATTTGGTGCAGCAGACGGAAACCAAGGCTCTGGAAATGAAAGATGAGCTGATGAAGGAAACTCTGCAGAGCAAAGCATACCATTCTTTTGACATCTTTTGATTTGATTCATGAGGTGTCCAGTTGCGTAAATTTGAAGCTGATATTCTTTCTACGTTTTTAAGGCAAACAATATTTATGAATAAGAATAAACATGCTCACTGTTCCCCTCAAGGAATTGCAAGCTGTGCACGATGAGCTGAGAAGAGCCAAAGCAGAGATCCAACGCAACGTGAAAGACCAGGTCTTGCTGCGCCAGAAGGTGCTGAACAGCGTGGATCAAGACATCCACAACATTGACCTTGCAGTGAATCAAGGTCTGGATGACGCCAAAAGTCGTGCCCGAGATCTACATCAACGTGCCCAAGAGATCATCCAAGAGGTGCAGCAGAGAGACTTCGCCATGGAAGAACAGCTGCGGCGGCGTGTTTCCACCGCCATCACTGTTTTGGACATGGCCAAGACCGCCAAAGATTCCGCCAGCACGGAGCATGCTGGCAACGAACAGCGCCGTCGCCACACGGCCAAAGCCTTCGGCGACGTCTTTCCGCGCAGCAGTCGCTTTGACTTCTCCGGGCTCAGCACGGCCAAGCCGCGGCTGCAGCCCGGGCCCGATGGGTCTTGGGACGGGCAACAAACGCCGACGCCGTCGCGGTGACGTGGCGAAAAGTGCAAACACCGCAGGCCTCCTGCTGGTCACAGCCACAATAGGCAATCAGAATAGTCACAATAGTCACCACATGCAGACTCAAAATGAATTGTGTTGGTCCAATGTGCTTCATTTTAATCATGAGATGTTTTGCCCCTCATGAAATCTTGCCGTTTTTTCTGGGTGATTCAAACGAACGGTCTCTGTCATCGTGTACCGGGGGGACATTGCGTTAGCATGCGCTAATCATCGCTCATCAATATTTCTGGCTCAAGATGTTCAGGTCCTTTTGCCCGCGTGGTGACTTGGATGGAAAACTTTTGAATTGGCATGAATTGGCTAGTTCGACAGGTTGGCATTTGGACCTTCATATCATGCAATTTCGATTGTTTGTTTGGACTCCATTGTCCCCTGCGCCAATGCACACACTTGGCCACTTCCATGTGGAAGCATAGTTTTCAGCTCTTGAAGTCTTTATAAAAAGCATTGCCCAAGTCCATTCCCAACAGATTACATGGTGCCAGTGCTTCAGGCAATTCCATGAAATGCTTGGGCTGGTGTTCTTGTCCTTCGAAGTTGTGACTGCATTTCACTCAGGTGCCCAGTGAATTCTGTTCTAAAACTCAAAATGTTGGCAATCATTGGGCCTTTGATCGCGGATTGGCAACTTCCAAGTTTATACAATAATGTGTTACTGAAAGCAAGTTCGAGTGTTTCCTTTGGTCCTAGACATTTGAAACATTTTTCACTGTGAGTCCGGGAAAGTGGTTTGGCATTGATTGGTTTATGTACTATGGTTTACTCGTTATTTGATATTTGTTGAAATTTGCTGTCTCGATTTGTTTCCCGTGACAGGCAATTCCAGTGAATTTGTGCGGCGAGCGCCACGAGGCTGGATCTCATCTCGACAAAGCTTTCAAGGTCGAAATTTCCGAGACCTGACAGCTTCGAATCAGAACCGCACTTTTTGAAATGCATCAATGGATATAATATGATATAATGCATCATATAAATGAATGGCATTGCAGGGGGATGTCCTGAAAACATCAAAAGCAATCTAGTGAAATGCGCTGTCACATTAAGAATGAGTCACTGACTGAACATTTGGTTCAATCTTTGAATGCAGAGCGTAGTTAAGTTATGATACTATTTCATGAACTTTTGATTTCCTTGTTGGCTTCTAGAAGTTTTACTAGCACATCGAGTGACAGAAAACGCTTCCTTGCGCAGGAGTGATAAGTGTGAATGTGAAGCCACAAGGAGCTTTTGAAGTTACCATCTGGTTATTTAACATAGCCATGGAAAATCACCAGTTTTAATAGGTAAACCATCTATAAATGGGCAATTTCCCATGGCTATCTTAAACAACCAGAGGGTATTTTGTTTTATTTTTTCCTGTGTGGGTAATGCCACCGAAAAAAACAGACGTGGGAAAGAAAAATTGGAACGGGTGACCTGGTGGGAGGTCAGTCCTATCAGATTACAACTTTGAAACTGAACAAGATTCCATTCCTGGCTTCCCGCTCGAAGAAACACGCTTGATCTTCGATAGTATGAGTATTATGAATTATGAATAATTATGAGATATAATGACATAGTTTCACAATTATTATGAATATCTGGCGGATTTTCAATCAGCATTCAAAGCATTCCAGCCGTGTCCAGGAGACATCGAGATGGAGGCATCCCAGTCAGCCCGGTCATCCCGCTCCGACGCAGGCGACAATGTGAAGCAAAACCAGAAGTAGATGTGGTAGGAAAATGGAAGAAAGAAATGAAAGAAATGAAAGAAAAAGAAATGAAAGAAATGAAAGAAATGAAAGAAATGAAAGAAATGAAAGAATCTGAAAGAAATGAAAGAAATGAAAGAAATGAAAGAAATGAAAGAAATGAAAGAATCTGAAAGAAATGAAAGAAATGAAAGAAATGAAAGAAATGAAAGAAATGAAAGAATCTGAAAGAAATGAAAGAAATGAAAGAAATGAAAGAATCTGAAAGAAATGAAAGAAATGAAAGAAATGAAAGAAATGAAAGAAATGAAAGAAATGAAGGAAATGAAAGAAATGAAAGAAATGAAAGAAATGAAAGAAATGAAAGAAATTGAAATGAAAGAATCTGAAAGAAATGAAAGAAATGAAAGAAATGAAAGAAATGAAGGAAATGAAAGAAATGAAAGAAATGAAAGAAATGAAAGAAATGAACATTTATAAAAAGGAGAGCTAGGCTGGGCAGTGCATATTGTATATATATATATTATATATGTATATACACAATATTCTGCCTATGTTGCTCAGTTTGGTGGTAGCACCAGCTGCACGGGGTTCACACATGAGGTCGAGTATTTTGTTTGTTGGTTTCAGCAAGTTTTCATCGCAGCGGAGTGCTGACCTGGTTTAACTACTTCAGTGGCTACTTCACTCCAGGTGAGGAAGAAAAATACTTGGCATATGCTGCAACTCGGCTTTGCAACGAGGTGTGTCAGAGACGCCAAAGGTTCCGGGTTCGAACATTGCAGCTGCCGTGGGAACATTTACCTTCTTGCTTCCCAAACGTTACCAAGCATTTGTTCCAGACAACCTCTGACTTTGGATGTTTTGTTTTTTCTCATTTGGCCTGCAAGGGTCAGAGACGCAAAGTAAGGATACAGATCCTCTTGTTGCGAAAATTGCCGGAAAGTGGGAGGTGTATTTCCGACCGGGGGGAAGTGGTAGGCCAGGGGCAAATTTTGTCGAGACGGCACCATATTCTTCATGGAACCAACCTAATTTGAGAGAGAGCCAGCTTGCTGAGTAGAGAGAAAGCGAGACAAAAACAAAACAGAACTTGAGCGTTGCTCAACTCCAAAACAGTGAAGTCTACATTTGATCAATGAGTCTGAAAATTATGCAAGACACATTGCTGCCATTGCCGCCATTGGTCAAATGCATTGGTCCATGGGTCCATGAGCTCGTTCAGACGAACTACGACGGTTGGAACAATCCTTCGGTGTTGCTTGGCGAGATCTTTTGGAGAACTTGATGGTGCCTTTGTATCATGAAGAAATTGAAGAATTAAAGTGCTACTCCTATGAGAACTGAATGGTTTGATCTAGCGCCTACTTGGTGAAGAAGCACAGGTTTGCAGAATACAAAATAATACGAATGATTTCATCGTTTGTGCCACAATGGTGAGGCACTCGCTTTGGACATTTTTGGACACTTCGGTGGTTTTCGGAGTCCATTCCTGCAACGTTTTCGTAGGGACGCATTCCAGCAAAGAATCAATCACGAGCATACACCTAAGCTGGTCAGAACCCTTATTTTGCTTCGATGTGCGCAAATAACTTCTAAAGGCTTTCGACTCATTGCAAAGTGATAGTGGTTCGGTCATTCTCAACGCTAATTCGGCGAAGCCAGAACGGGTCTCACAGCTCAGGTTTCACCCGGTCGAAATCTCCTGTGATGGCAAATTCAAGCGCCTTGGAGCAGCCGTTAGAAACTAGCTATAAACCGTGGGTGACCGGGGTGACCTCAGTACGGTATTTGACCCTTTCACCATCTTTCACCACACCAATCCCGAGCGTTTGCTAGAATTGACTTCAAGAGGTTCAAAACCATGTCAAAGACATGTTTATTTAGTTTATTTTGTGGAAACTTGCATTGTACCAAAATTTGCTACTGGGTGCAAGTTCGCGTGAACGTTATGGGCCCATACCAAACATATGGACATCATGTACACCAGCCCAAAGCATCAAAAGGAGGACCGTCAGCATTGACTTCTTCCTGGCCAGCACTTTTGTTCTTTTCCACATAATCTGAAGGTGCATGCCAAGATCTGCAAGAAAGGCTATGGTGCCGGTGAAGCAGCCCATATGGGTCACAGCGGTCGGGGGTTCGATTGGAGCGCCGAAAAGTGGATCGCTTAGAGGCTTAGAGTAACCCACCCCACCCCACCCCACCCCACCGGTATCTGATCATGAAAGAGCAGTGCCTGTGTCTGCAGGACAGCAAGAAAGATGATGAGGTTGCTGTGCCTGTGTGTGCAAAGGAACATGAACGTTATTACCCCGCCCCACCCCACCCCACCCCACCCCACCCCACCCCACCCGACCGGTATGATTCTCTGGTGCTCTAAGTTATCCACTTTTTTGGTGCTCTAAGTGATCCGGTGCTCTAAGTGATCCGGTACTCTAAGTGATCCACTTTCCGGTGCTCTAAGTGATCCCTTAACCGGTCAGGGCCAGATGAAGCTTCAGTGCTGCCGGTGTTGGTTCTGGGGTGGTTCCGGAAGCTTCCGGCGTGGTTGGTTTGTGGGTGGTTCAGAAGGTTCTGAGCTGTGGGTTCGTGGTTTTGGATGGTTTTGGTCGGTTCCAGTGTGAGTTGTGGGGCGGTTCCAAGTCATTGTGGAGGTTCGGTGCGGGTTCTGGGCGGTTTAGAAGTTCCAGTGTTGGTGCGCCCAGGTGGTTCCCAGCGGTTCTGGTTGGGTACTGGAGTGGTTCTGGGTGCGAATAGGTTGCAATATCATTCAAGCACTGAAACTCCAATGATAAATCCTGATACAATATGACATAGACATGTATATATATATATAGACATGCATAGACTTTATTCACCACTTTGTGATTTTACCGTTGATGTACTTCACGTATGAACTGAATGAATTGCATTTGGTCGCCATCCAATGATTGGGTTGGTTCTCCTGGCCAAGGATGTGGACTGGGAAGATCAGCCAGATTGACACGGGTAAGAAGATGAAGGCAACCTGGCAGAGTGCCAAAAAAAAGCGGGCAGACATCGTGTTGCTGACTTTTTGCAAGTTTGTGGTTGATGTGGTTGTTATTTGGGGTCTCAGAATAAGCGCTTGAGCTGCTGTTGCTCGCATTTCGGCTGATGAGGAAAAATGCACGAAAGGCACAAAGAAAGCGCAATTTTATGTGCCCGACTGGAATAGGTGTCTTGGCTGGAGAGGGAATTTTCGTAGAGTTGGTGTGGACGAACATGGATCAGCATGGGAGGGATTGCCAGCTCCAATGAACAGGTTGTGTTTTCTAGTTTTCAAGACCCAAAATTTCTGGTTTAAAGATTGAGACTGGGATCGTATTGACAGGGGTTGGATGCACTTCTTCCCTGATCGACAAGATATGGCCAGAGGAAGATTTCTGCCATGGACACATGAACTGTCCGAGGCAACCCAAGTGGGAGTGTGGATGGCCAGGCTCTCAAAAGGTGTCGAAGTGAGTGATTTGAGTGCCAACAACGAAACCCTGTACTGAAACTTTTTTTTTCTGGGACAAGATGCTGGAATTTGAATTTCAATCTTGCTGAGTTGGGAGCTTTATCTCTTGGTGCAATGCTCCTTCCACCAGTGACACCAATGTTTGTAACGTTTCTGCGTTGAACATAGTTGAACCATTCAGGACCCTTTGGAATGACTTTGTGTTCCAGCTGTAGACATCAGTAATCCTGAAGATGACAAGGCAACTTTTTTGTTTGCTCGCGTTGAGTACGTTGCTGCGAGAACAGCCAAAGTGCCGCTGAGGAAGAACTTGAAAAATCGCACGCAACACGCATCCTCGCAGTTTCTATTGTCACAGCGATGAAGAGGAACTCCGTGTAAGACGCTGTGCACACAACCCATGCACCACACAATTCCAAAACTGGCGCAACAAAGCGGTTCCCAAATACCATTGGAGCAGCAAGTGCGCACTAAATCTGCAGCCAGCACGATGTGGACCTCTGACAGTGCTGCAGCAGTTGCGATTCCCCCGTGCAATACCGCTATGCCGCAATATCACGACTGGTCTCCTTTAGCTCCTTGAGGTATGACGAAAAAACGGACCAGATCCATGTCTACCATTACTGGACAGGCAGGGCATGGCAGGTCCGAGGTCTCATTTGCTCTCATCCTCTCAATGGGCCCAATTGGTCTCAGTTAGATCTGAGTTTGACTTGAGCTGCAACTGATGTTGTTGGCTTTGCAAGTAGAACACGGAGGGGGGCAGAGAGAATTCTGTCGCGCCAGCTGTTCAGCGTTCTGGACATGGTCACAAGGCAGGCGACAGCTATTGGGGAGCTTTGGTATGAATTATTCAGTGTTGACGTTGATTGGACACTTTTGCAGCAGACTCTTGACACTTGTAGCTTGGCATTTCCAGCTTGTGCATTTTACATTTTACATTCATCTTCCGCTGTGCTGAAGCAGCTGGCTCTAAGGAATGATGCAAAAGTCGAAGAGAATAAAGAAAGAGAGCCTCAGCTGCCTCAGCTGGTCACAAAAGAATAGAAAAGAGCTAAAGCTCATGGGGGATGCAAAGATGTGATGTGAGCTGCAAGTCTTTTCAACATTGAGCCAATCTCTTGCAGAGTCATTGGCCCTGGCTTTAGAGCAACTTAGTGCAGCAAATTCTCAGGGATCGTGAAAGATGTGTCACGCTGATGGCGGAACATCTTCACAGGGATTAAGGTAGCTGGCAACTGGAAGCACTCTCTCGCTACATATTTATATTATTGTTACATACACCTAAAGTGACATTCAGCCAGACTATCATTTGCTTCAACTATATATATATATAATAGCTGTAGCTTAAGCAACGATTCATTTGAAAGACCCCCTATCAAGTTTTTTCGTCTTTGTTGTTTCCTTTTTTCGCGGGATGTCCCGGTCAGAGTATGCAAGGTAAAGCTGCAGTCCATTTTTTCAGCGGCAAAATCTAAGTGAGGTGTTGTTCTTGTTTTTAGTATAGGCCTGAAACTGGGATATACATATTACATATATATATATATATTCCAACTGAATTGCAAAATTGTTTTCGAAATTCCAAGTGCTGGTCAACATCCATGATATAAAATAACATACATTAATATACTATGATTACAGTTACTATGTATCTCTTTCCGTGCCGAGGAATTGCCCCACGCCTGCACCAGCGGAAGAGAAATCCAATGCATTGGCAGCCGCTGCAAGTCTTCTTTTGTGGAATGTCACTTGCTTGCACTTCATAGGAGACTTTCAATATCCTATTGCAGGACAAACCTGTTGAATGCAACTTATTTGAGCACGAAGTTAAGCTAGGACATCACCAGCAAGCTGGAGTTGCTCCTGCTTTATCAAGGATTCGTCTCTGGAAGCACGAATTGCGTGAAACATACAAGTAAAGGGGATACTGTAACTTCGGCCTAGGCTCCTGGAGCGTTTCCGACGGGTCTTGGGAGTGGATGGCACTTGGCAGTTCCTGACCAATCTCGATCCTACTTTTCTATCCTTCGTACTTTAACACACCATTTCTTCCTGCACTCACCATTGCACAATGTCCTAGCATCGCGGTGCTCCTTGAAACACCGCTCATTATCAAAGGTCCCCTTCCCCAGCATGCCCCGCCCCAATACTTATACTGTCCTTTCCAACTCCATGTTTCCAGCTAAACCCCTCCCTGTGCCTGAAAACTTCCCCACCCGATGGAAAACAACAGGACGCGCCGGAGGCGCCGGACGTGCATGCCAATTCTTGTTTCCAACCCCATCGCCCTTGGCACGTCACCACTTAGACTCACCAGTCAGCTTCAACAGTCCTAGGTGATGTCACTCTACCTCTGGGAAAGTTGAGAAATCTGTTTCTGCCGCAGAACTGCATCGGAAGTAAAGGTCGTGCTGCAGGGAACGTGGGCAATGCGTTCTTAACGTGTTCCTATGAGGTACCAATGAGGTGATTCTTTTGTGGCAATGGATTGCAAGTTCTCATCTCACCCTGGTTTGCTCGTGGATCAATGGAGTCCTTGTTACAGTCTACAGGCGGTATGTTGGAGAATAAGACTTTGTGCCATCTCAATCCAACTCTGTCAACGGTCACCAATGGCATCAACGTTTGCTTTGCTTTCCATCCTTAGAGTATATTCGTCGGACTTTTGCGTGGAGCAAGGCTGAAGGCATTGCACATTTGCACTTAAAGCCTAGAATTCGGCAATAGTTTCATCTTCCGACAATCTTTAAGCAAAGGTAACTCTGGGTCATTCAAGGTTCATTCGCGCATTCACTTCAAGCCAGGCTGAGCTGTGCTCAAGCCAGCTAAACCTACACTAGGCATGAACTTTATGATCCAGAGAACTACGGACGAGCACTCCCTTTGGTTTGAAGAACAAGTGTCAAAAACGCGCCATGAAGCAGTACTTCCTGAGCAAATTGACAGGGAATTTCAACCTCCATGTTTTTTTTTTCCCCCCTCAAGTTTCAACTATGGACAGATGAGAGAAACATGAAAGAAACACGGAATTCTTTGAGATGGCGATCCTTGGCCCGGAGATTGTACGCCACAGCGATGGGAGGACGGGCGGTGCTTGTGTTCAGTGGCTCCTTGTCCCTGTCACGCATGGGCTGTTGGAGGATAGGCCACTTGCCATCAGCCGCCCCATGTATTTCAGAGGTGGGTAAGATTTGCTGCACCGGACTCGAAACAAGCTCTGTGCTGCCAGAAGTGTGGCAAATTAGTGCAAATTACGATTCATCTTCATCTTCATCTTCATCTTTTCGGCGCAGTTCGACAGGCTCGTCGACCAACTTCGCACCGGAACGATCGGTTGACTTTAGCAGCAGTGTTTGGGGCTGGGGCCCAAGAGATGAGACAATACCAGCAGGGATAGGGTTGATAGGCTGATAGGCTTAGTTGCGAATGGTCACGCGGTCAGGGAATTCAAATGAAGCATGAATGATGCATGATCAATGACAGCATTAAAAGAGATGGCTGAAGAAGGTTGGCTGCAAGCTCTTGGTACGTGATGAGCTGTGCACAACATGTTTCATGATTTTGCTAGATTTGATGTGCTCAAAACCTGTTTCGTTCGGATGCAAAGGCCGCGCTCACAGTGATGGGCCCAAAGCCAGGTGCTAGGGCTCTGCCTGTGTGACGATAGTCGGAACATTATGCATTTGAGCATCAGCACCTGCCAGGTCCTCCAAAATTCTATATTGATGCAAAACCTGCAAATCTAAAAGGATCTAAAAGGGCTGAAACTAATGTCCGTTGAACCTGTGCTGAATGGAAGCCAGCACCATGGCACTCTCTCTCTCTCTCTCTCCCCCCCTCTCCCCCCCTCCCTCGCTCGCTCGCTCGCTCGCTCTCTCTCTCTCTCTCTTTCTCCCTCCCTCTGAAACCACTCGGGCTTGAAGCACATGCCCAGTTCTCAAATAGCCACTTAGCCGACTTAGCCACACGAAATCCAACGTCTCATGCTACATTCGGTACAAAACGGACATTCCCAAACTAAACCGACGTTTCAGATGGCCTCTTGCAACAGGAGTTTCCGCACCTGTATTGTTTCAACATGTTTCAACTGTCAGATTTTCAGTGCAACACCTAGCAGCTAAACCCCACTCCCTGAAGCATCACACCTTGAGACGTTTTTCATCTATTTTTGAGCATACCCTCTCAGCCCTTCGAACCCACCTACATTTGTCCAGATTTTGAATCTCCTTCCAAAAGCATTAATAACATCTCGTAACCACTTCAAGGCAAATTCCAGCGCACGGGTCAGCGAATTCATGCTGACTTGTGGTTTCCCGCACAGCCCGTAGGATGGAGGCAGAGACGAAAAGCAGGACACCTTGGGAGCCATGGAATGCCATGCGATGATATGAGACAGATGTGGTTGCTATGGCCTGGTCTGCCTTGTGCTGACATGACCAGAAATAAACAATTTGACTCAGAATTGACACACTGACATGACTCATGCTGCAAATGTTGTCCTTGATTTTTCCCCGTAGATAGATGGAAATGAAATTGACCTCAGGTTTGCTCATGATTTTCAAGATATTTATCTTGCACTTCGCAAAGTCTTTTTTCATATTTTTCCGCATATCGTGAAGGTCAATGGTCGAATAACAAGGTGTTTTCAGACGTCATGATGTGGGAGCGAGGAAAAGTGACCTGCTGGGCAAAGGGAAGTCGTGCCTTGACCGTGTGGAGCCCCAGTAGGGATAGAGAGAGCACATACACGAAAATAGTTCCTGGAAATTGCAAGTAAGAACTCATTCCTCATTTCCTCCGTAGTTTTTCCAGCTGGTAATCAACTTCCATAACTACAGTTTTCTTTTGCTGATTTGAGTGTTCTGTGTCCACGATCAGGTACGTTGAACTGGTTGAGGGATCTGCTACTTCCAAAATTGTTGACAGAAGAATTTGAATCATAGGACGGGATGGTCCCTTGACAATAGACCTGGCAGAGTTGTAAGCTGCTTGGTTGGAGTATCTCCGCACATCTTCGGCGTGCTTATGTTTTTGTTGACGGCATGGCCCTGGTGGTACCTGTTGGTCCGTTGTCTTTCGCCTCAAAGTACAAGCTTTGGGTGACTAGCAGAGCCCAGAAGAGCCAAGCATCGCCCCCTAGGATTCAAGTAGGGTCCATCTTCATGCCAATGCGCTTCGTCGTCAATTGTTCTGAACATGTGGGTCACCTTAACCCAACTCTACCAGTGGTTAAGGCATTGGTTGAAGCTGGTCACGAGGTCCACTTTGTGTGTTTGGAGATCGCACGACAGAAAATCGAAGACGTGGGTGCGGTCTTTCACAACACCATGGACATTCAGTCTGAGCTGTATGCCGGCCGAGGGTTGCAGGATTCACACTCACAAATCCCAAAGCTTGCCCTGTTCAGCATCATTGAAGAGCAGGGTTTGGAGATGTCATTCCTCAGCATCTTGAAATGCCTGAATGTGAGTTTAGAGATGGAACTCCCAGGAACTCTGCGTTTCTTGCAGAAGCTGAAGCCGGATGTGCTGATCTACGATCCCATTTTCATCAGCAGAGCCGCACCTTTGGCTGCAAAGATCTTGGGCATCCCTGCGGTGGGTGTGCTGACGTTGGCTGGACCAGGAGCAATGTGCAACCACGGCCCCGCACTCTTACGACCCATGTCCCTAGATGATTCGGGTCCTTTGGTTCAGAGCTTCGTCCCGCACATGGAGGCCACACAGCGTATCAATGAGAAATATGGTTTGGCGTTGAAACCAACACAGCTTCTTCCAGATGGCTACTTGGACACCTGCTTGGGGAACACGGTGCTTGTCACCACATCAGAGGAACTGCAGGATCCAGTGACAGAAGCTACCTGCAAAGCCTATGAAGAAGATGGCACGAGGCAATGTGAACCAAAGCAATCCAAATTAGATGCATGCAAATTAGACAATAATCGAAAATGCCTTGTCATGACTATATTTGTTTGAAAGCTTGTTTGAAGGCATGCAGGGGATGCATTTGATTTTGCCAAAACCTTGTGCCAGGTTTGCATTTGTTGGTCCTTTGCTCTTGCCTTCTGCACCTTGCACGGATCCAGCAGTGCTTCGAGTGCGGGAAGCTCGAGCAGCAGGTCGTTGCGTGGTTGCTGTCAGAGCCCAAGCCCTATTGGTATTGTTGAGCACATGATTGTAAGGCCACATTTGAGATTATTTCACCTCAAGACCATTTGAAACATTTTGAAACTATATCAAGAGTCAAGACATGTCCTTCTCTGACACGGACACAGCTACTTTGAGCATTGTCTCACACATTTATTCAGCTGTTCTTCGCAGTTCGCAGCTGGGCAGGTCAGCATGGGCACGGTGATTACAGGTGGAGACAAGGAGGGAGTGGGCCAAATAAATGGTCTTCCAACCCTGCAGTGCATGTGTTTGTTTAAAGGAGTTACATTTGGCAAGGGGACCATTTTTTTTTCGTAGCTCCAAAAAAAATCGACACGCTGCAGAAATAGGCTGTGCTCCCATCAGGTGGCCGGTTGGGACGCCGATTTCGATGGCCAAAGCATCAGCGGACGGGATCTCTGTCGCGCTGTTTGGGCAGGGACCTTTGATGCGTCCGGGGAGGCATTGGTGGTTGCGGCCCTAGGCTGGCAGCCAGATGCGCTGGGGAACGTCCAGGTTCCAAGCAACGCTTTGTGCGTGAATTCCTTTGCCCAGGTGGAGCTGTTGAGAAGTGGCGTCGATGTCTTTGTGACCCATGGTGGCCAAAACAGTTTCACGGAAGCTTTGTCTTTTGCCACCCCAGTGGTGGTATGCCCGGGGTTTGGAGATCAGGAGGTGAATGCTGCCAAGGCAGTTAGCTTGGGTGTTGGTCTCAAGGTGGACCGTCCCAAGATCGCTTCACCAAATGAGGCATCCCAAGCGGCAGCCATGTATCGTCTGGACGTATGCCATGCTGTGAAGCGTCTGTTGGATGTCAGCGCTTCAGCCTTTCGGAATGCAGCGAAGGTCCAGGCAGAAGGATTGGACAGGGCTGGTGGAGTTCCTCGTGCCGTCAGCTTGGTCCTCAAAGCCGCAGCTGACCAAGGTGGCTTACATCCCTGGTCCATGACTGCATCTGCAGGGGCTTAAGCTCCTTTGTGAATCGAGCCAACCCCCTGAGTTTTGATAATTCTGAGTCTGCATGTGCGTATCAAGCGTAAGCGCTTCGATGCAATCTCAATCTTGAATGTACAGACAATAGGGATCGCTGAAGACCACGCGCAACTGTACAGCCCCATGCAAAGCTTCTCTCCGTGCAACTGCTCCCTGGATTCCAAGGGACGTTTGTCTGGAGCAAATGGAGCGAACGCGGCCGTGACATTTGTCACACCGCAGGTGACCCGAGAAAGTCCGCAGAAGGGTCTCGCTTTTCCCGCGCAGCACGGTGGATGCTGAGGTCCAAGAGCACATGGAGCAATGGAGACCCATGGAGGACTGGCTGGGGTCAAAGCTGCTTCGATGGCTCCTAGCAGGATTGTGAAATGTTGTCAAAATTTGTGCAGGGAGTTTTTTTCCTATCCTTTTTAGTATCTTGATCTTTCACGGAGCCAAACTCACCTCTTGGGCTACATGGTCAAGATCAAATTCTGTTGTGGTGCCCAAACTTTCAATCCGAACCCGTCTGTGGTTGCCAGGCAACAGTCATCCAGCAAAGTCTTGAGAGAAAGAGGCTAGAGGATGTTGCTTTTTGATGCTTTTTGGGGAAAGTGAGCTGCATGTTTTTCGACGACTGTGTCTGATCATCGGAAAACACAACACATGAATTCTGGCTCCTGGCGGCTGGAATTGAGCATACACAGCTGACTACTTGTTTCTCGAACTCTCTAAGGAGTGTACATAGGCCATCATAGGCCCTTATTTTCAGCCTAGATCGATTTGACCACTCATGAAAAGAACCGACATCAGTGACAGCAGCACAGTTTGCAGGCTGCATGGGACATTCTTTTTTGAGGAGCAGAGAGGTATTGGAAAGGCCGGGATGAAATGCCCTTCATTGGTCAGGTTGACTAGTGAGGACTCACCGACAGTGATGCTGTGTTTGTCATGTTTTGTCAGTTGCTCTCACAACATCTCACTTTTTCTTGCACTGCCAACCTTGGAGATGCTCCTGATCTGTTCCTGATATGTTTGATGAAATCTTGCCGCAGAGCCACGTTCACTCAAGCAAAGCGTCCCTTGCGCCGCGGCGCCGCCATGCCAAAGTTTCAAAGACAGGCAACCCACGCCAACGAGTCGGACATTTTGCAGATCATCGATGAACGCTTCGAGGAACTCGAGGAGACTGTGGCGTTGGCTCGTTTGATACCACAAATCCATGATCGCCTCTTCGAAGTGGAGCAGATGCTGAAACGCCTTGAGGCAAGGGGAACAAAGATGAAAGATTCTGAAAGATGGTAATGTAACAGGTGGATACAGGTGGCAGGTTTGGTTCTTTGCAAAAGAATCGCACATGCAGTATTTCCAAACAGTAGTGCAAGGAACATGACGCTAGAAGATCGTGTGCAAGATCTCCTTGTCAGGATCTCTGTAGAAGCTGCTGTGCAAGATCCCTTTGTAAGGGATCTCCAGACAAGCTCTCTGTACAAGAGATCCCTAAGTAAGATCTCTCTCTCTCTGAGCCAGATCTCCGCAAGAGACCTCTTGGCAAGATTGTTGCAAGAGATCACTATGAAAGGTCCCTGTACTAGATCTCTAGAAGAGGTCTCTTGGCAAGATCTCTGTAAAAGATCTCTGTACAAGCTCCCTCTAAGAGGCCTCCAAGCCAGATCTCTGCAAGCTCTCTATCAGAGGTTTCTATAGAAGATCTCTAAGCAAGCTCTCTGTCAGAGATCTCTGTGGGAGATCTCTACAAGCTCTCTGTCAGAGGTTTCTAGACAAGATCTCTAAGCAAGGTCTCTGTCAGAGATCTCTGTGGGAGATCTCTACAAGCTCTCTGTCAGAGGTTTCTAGACAAGATCTCTAAGCAAGGTCTCTGTCAGAGATCTCTTTCGGAGATCTCTGCAAGCTCTCTGCCAGAGGTTTCTAGACAACATCTCTAAGCAAGGTCTCTGTCAGAGATCTCTGTGGGAGATCTCTACAAGCTTTCTGTCAGAGGTTTCTAGACAAGATCCCCAAGCAAGGTCTCTGTCAGAGATCTCTGTGGGAGACCCCTACACTGACTCTACTAGCTCACTGTCAGAAGTTTCTAGACAAGATCTCTAAGCAAGGTCTCTGTCAGAGATCTCTGTGGGAGACCTCTACAAGCTCTCTATCAGAGGTTTCTAGACAAGATCTCTAAGCAAGGTATGTGTCAGCGATCTCTGTGGGAGATCTCTACAAGCTCTCTGTCAGGTTTCTAAACAAGATCTCTAAGCAAGGTCTCTGTCAGAGATCTCTGTGGGAGATCTCTACAAATTCCAAGCTCCCTGTCAGAGGTTTCTAGACAAGATCTCTAAGCAAGGTCTCTGTCAGAGATCTCTGCGATGGATCTCTGCAAGCTCTCTGTCAGAGGTTTCTATACAAGATCTCTAAGCAAGGTCTATGTCAGAGATCTCTGTGGCAGATCTCTGCAAGCTCTCTGCCAGAGGTTTCTAGACAAGATCTCTCAGCAAGGTCTCTGTCAGAGATCTCTGTGGGAGATCTCTGCAAGCTCTCTGTCAGAGGTTTCTGGACAAGATTTCTAAGCAAGGTCTCTGTCAGAGATCTCTGTGGGAGATCTCTGCAAGCTCTCTATCAGAGGTTTCTATACAAGATCTATATAGCTGCAAGGTCTCTGTCAGAGATCTCTGTGGGAGATCTCTACAAGCTCTCTATCAGAGGTTTCTTGGCAGGATCTCTCTAAGCAAAGTCTCTGGCAGAGATCTCTGTGGGAGATCTCTACAAGCTCTCTATCAGAGGTTACTGTACAAGATCTCTCTAAGCAAGGTCTCTGTCAGAGATCTCTGTGGGAGATCTCTGCAAGCTCTGTCAGAGGTTTCTAGCAAGATCTCTAAGCAAGGTCTCTGTCAGAGATCTCTGTGGGAGATCTCTACGAGCTCTCTGTGTTTTTGTAGACAAGATCTCTCAGCAAGGTCTCTGTCAGAGATCTCTGTGGGAGATCTCTATCAGAGGTTTCTATACAAGATCTCTAAGCAAGGTCTCTGTCAGAGATCTCTGTGGAAGATCTCTACAAGCTCACTGTCAGAGGTTTCTAGACAGGTCTCTGTCAGAGATCTCTGTGGGAGATCTCTGCAAGCTCTCTATCAGCTGTTTCTATACAAGATCTCTAAGCAAGGTCTCTGTCAGAGATCTCTTGGAGAGATCTCTACTTTCTCTCTGTCAGAGGTTTCTAGACAAGATCTGAGATCCCTGTGGGAGATCTCTACAAGCTCTCTGTCAGAGGTTTCTAGAAATCTAGACAAGATCTCTCTGCAAGGTCTGTGGGAGATCTCTACAAGCTCTCTGGCAGAGGTTTCTAGACAAGATCTCTAAGCAAGGTCTCTGTCAGAGATCTCTGTGGGAGATCTCTACAAGCTCTCTGTCAGAGGTTCTATACAAGATCTAAGCAAGGTCTCTGTCAGAGATCTCTGGGTGGGAGATCTCTACAAGCTCTCTGTCAGAGATCTCTCTAGGCAAGATCTCTAAGCAAAGTCTCTGTCAGAGATCTCTGTGGAAGATCTCTACAAGCTCCCTGTCAGAGGCTTCCATACAAGATCTCTAAGCAAGGTCTCTGTCAGAGATCTCTGTGGGAGATCTCTACAAGCTCTCTGTCAGAGGTTTCTAGACAAGATCTCTCTGCAAGGCCTCTGTCAGAGATCTCTGTGGGAGATCTCTGGAAGCTCTCTATCAGAGGTTTCTATGCAAGATCTCTAAGCAAGGTCTCTGTGGGAGACCTTTACAAGCTCTCTATCAGAGGTTTCTAGACAAGATCTCTCTGCAAGGTCTCTGTCAGAGATCTCTGTGTGGGAGACCTCTACAAGCTCCGTACCAGAGGTTTCTAGACAAGATCTCTAAGCAAGGTCTCTGTCAGAGATCTCTGTGGGAGATCTCGGCAAGCTCTCCATCAGAGGTTTCTAGGCAAGATCTCTGAGCAAGGTCTCTTTCAGAGATCTCTGTGGGAGATCTCTACAAGCTCTCTGTCAGAGGTTTCTATACAAGATCTTTATAAGCAAGGTCTGTGTCAGAGATCTCTGTGGGAGATCTCTGCAAGCTCCCTATCAGAGGTTTCTATACAAGATCTCTAAGCCAGGTGTTTGTCAGAGATCTCTGTGGGAGATCTCTACAAATTCCAAGCTCCCTGTCAGAGGTTTCTAGACAAGATCTCTCAGCAAGGTCTCTGTCAGAGATCTCTGCGATGGATCTCTGCAAGCTCTCTATCAGAGGTTTCTAGACAAGATGTCTATGCAAGGTCTCTGTCAGAGATCTCTTTGGGAGATCTCTACAAGCTGTCTGTCAGAGGTTTCTATACAAGATCTCACTGCCAGGTGTGTTTCAGAGGTCTTTATATAAGCGCTCTTTTTAAGAGGTCTCTTGGCAAGATCTCTACGCAAGGTCTTTGCAAGAGATCTCTGTACAAACTCTCTCTCTCTCTCTCTCTGTCTCTTTTTTTTTTCTCTCTCTCTCTCTCTTTTTTTTTCTCTCTCTTTTTTTTCTCTCTTTTTTTCTCTCTCTTCTTTTTTCTCTCTCTTCTTTTCTCCCTTTTTTTTTCTCTCTCTTTTTTTTCTGTCTCTTTTTTTTTCTCTCTCTTTTTTTCTCTCTTTTTTTTTCTCTCTTTTTTTTTCTCTCCTTTTCCTCTCTCTCTTTCTCTCTCTCTCCTCTCTCTCTCTCTCTTCCCCTGTCTCTTTCTCTCTCTCAGAGGTCTCTTGGCAAGATATTTGTAAAGGATCTCTGTACAAGATGTCTGTACAAGATCTATCCTGACAAGCTCTGTGCTCTCTATATAAGATCTCTGTCAAAGGTCTCGAGGAGATCTCTTGGCAAGATCTCAGGACAATGGCTTTATAAGAGATCTCCATGCAAGCTCTTTCTAATAGATCTCTAGACAACATCTCTAGCAGAGGTCTCTTGGCAAGATCTCTGCACAAGACCTCCTTGAGGATCAAAATCAGCGCCGCGCCGCAGCGAGAGCGAACTGACACGCAGAAAGTGCCGGGAGGGTTGCGCGAGCGACCTCAAAATAAGGAGCGCACCACAATGAGAGCGAGGTCTCTGGGCCACCGTTTCATGCGAGACTTCCTTCGAAAACGGAAGATAAAGGAACTCTTGTGCTGGAAGGGTCACCACATTTGCCGGACACGCCGGAGACCCCAGGCTTTAACTACTACCATAAGAACCCCAAGTGTGGCCACACTGCTTGGGGAGTAGAGAACACATGATTGTGCCTACAGCTTACAAGACTTCTAGCATTCTGTCATGTTTTTAAACCTCATGCTTGTGATGGGAAGAATATTATTGCTGAAGAACCTGACATGAATTTGGTATGGTGCTGTGTAGGAGTGGTTTGGGAACGCAGTGATCGGGTTACAGAAATCAGAGCATGGAGAAGTGACTCCCAAAGTTTCCTACAAATTCAGAGTTTTTTTTGCCGCGGTCCTGGATGATGGTTCCAAACATGCATGGTACAATCATCACATCCACCCCAAAAGAACCCATACTGTATGTTTTCTTTACAAACTTTGCCTTCAACGATTGGTCCTGATTTTATTTCCGATCTTCCGATGTCATGTGCTCTGTTTCCGTTCTGTATTCCACAAAAATACCCCGAATCCCCCACATAAAGTGCCAAGGGATGTCAAAGGTTAGGATACAGAAAGGAGATGTTCAACCGTTCAACAAGCCCCATGCTGGGCATTGGCATCCCTTGGAGGTAGCAGGTCCTGAAGCGAAGAAAGGCCCCCAATGGAGCGAGTCCGAGCCACCTCCACGCATTGTGATGCCGGAGGACGATGAGACCTGGGAGCCACATTTGGAGCTGCAGACAAGAAGCGAGGTTGGCATGAAAGATGTGCCAACGGGATTATCACCGCGGTCAATGGCAGCTCATTCACCTGCAAGAAGGAAAAGTAAAAAGATCACCGAGATCTCTCGGGAAAAGATGTCTGATGTGAACGAAGAAATTTTGGACACTCAGACCAACGAGTATTACAGCTTTGGCGAATCTACATGGGATTTAGTGATGTTCATCGGCACCGGAGCTTTGGGTCCCATGGGATCTTTGCAGACCCTTTTATTGGCTGTGGTGAATGTCCTAATGCAAGTGGTCTTCGTGGCTATTGCCTATTTTAACTTCACCAAGCCGGATGTGGATGAGACTTCCGTGGTGGACGCGCAGCGCTGGAGGAGAGCCTCAGGTCATTCGATGTGGAGCTACAGTGAAGTCTCAAAGGAATCTCTGGCTGAGCGTGTTTGCAAATTGGACAAGTCTTTGGAACAATCTGGAATCCAGGCATGCTAGCAGAGCTGCGAGTGTTTCAACTGCTTAGGTGGTTTAGGTATTCTGATTCAGTACCCCAAGAGGTCTCGCTGTCTTGCCTAGAGTTGGGGATTGCTTGCCACGGAACTTGATAGATCCCGATTTCTTTCTTGCTTCAGAACCGATCGTTGTGGGATGATATTGGCAAATGGGGCATGGACGAGAACTTGCCCACGGCTCGAAAACCGTACGCACGTTTGCTGTTTTTCTTCTGCCTTCTATCAGATATCATGTGTGTTTCCAAATCCCAAGGGAGAGTGTTGTTTTGTCGCGTTTTCATAAATAAAATATATTGGTGTTAGCTCTTCACTGCCTCAAGCAACGTGCAACTTGCTTTGGATGCTACGCTCTTAACTTTCGGCATTTCCCTCAAGCTCTTGATGCTACGCCCTAAACTTACTCAAATTAGGAATTGCTCTGGATGCTACGCTTTTTTCCAATGAAAATACAACTTGCTTCGGATGCTACGCCTGTAACTTTTTCAATCAACCCACAACCTGCTCTTGATGCTACGCTCTTAACATTCTCTTGGAACTTTCCTCACGCTCTTGATGCGACGCCCGTAACTTTCTCAAGTAACTAACAACTTGCTCTTAATGCGCCGGAAACCCACGGCAAAAAGCTGTGAAGCAAGCGTGCACCTCCAGGTGAAGCGAAAAAGTGCGAAGGGCAAGACTTTCGGAAACTTTGCAGTCTTACATCGTATGTGATTAACTTCCCAAAACTGAGGTAAACTGCGACTTGTCCATGTTTTTGAGCCATCCCAGGAATAATCTAAGTATGGAAAAAATGACACTGAGGAAATTTACACATTTTTCAGAAAACGGATGGAAAAGCAGAGGTGGAAAGAGCCAGAGAAGAGCAGAGAAGAAGCAAGAAGATCAGAGAAGAGAAAGAGTCAGACGAAAGAAGACGATGCAGGTCGCAGGTGCGCGAAAAGGTAGAAAAGCCGCGAAGCACTGTGTGTTTCCAATGATTTGTGACTCAGGAGGGTCGAAAAGTAGGCTCGCTAAAGCGGCGGGTGCGGAGCCATTTGGCCAGATGAGAGATGAAAAATTGCACGGCTTTTGGCGCGAAGCCCATTTGCAAGTGAAAAAGCTAAAAACACCTCACGTTCGGAGCACTTTTGGAAGTTGAGATGTCGAAAAAGTGCACGCCGTGTTGGCGCGAAGCACATTTCCAAGTCAAAATGTACAAAACACACCAGGGTAGGAGCATTTTTGGAAGTTGTGATGTCGAAAAAGTGAACGCTGTTGTGGCGCAAGAAACTGCTAGGCCCAAATTGAAGCTTTCAAGCCCCCAAGACGTTGCCTTCGCCACACCGAGGCACCATGCTACTGAAGGACGGGCCTATGCCAGCAACCTCGCAAGCCACCAAAAGGCTGGCTTCGCCGCTTGCGTTTCCATGTCTTGCTGGCTCTTGCCTCTTTCCTCTTGCTTTTTATCTTCTTGGTCTATCTCTTGGCCCCTCTTATCTGACGCGCTCCCCCTGCTGTCGGCAGGAGTCGGCGGATATCTTGCGAATGCTGTGACATGTTGGACCAGTCAGTGCATGTTACAAACTTGGACTCCGCTGATTATTTTGCAGAATGAGGCCTGCAGTATGTTCTTAGAATGGTATCTTGAAGCCTTTTCACAAGCTCGTCGCTGAACCTGGAACAAAGTTGAAAGTTAGATCTCCAGCAGCCTGGCCTCCAAAACCATGGGCTTGCCAGTTCCAAACACCATGAGAGTGAAGGCCGGACGGTCTTTGGGCCCGCGGCTGCCTGTGCCTAACGTTGCTTTCTGCGCCAACAAGAAACTAGCACCAAATTCCTGCTCTCAACCCTTTGGAAGCTGCAAGAAACTAGCTCCGAACGCTGCTGCCGGGCCTCCAAAACCGTGGCCAGTTCCAAACACCATGAGAGTGAAGGCCGGAGACGGTCTTTGGGCCCGCGGCTGCCTGTGCCCTGCGCCGACAAGAAACTAGCTCCCCCGGAAGCTGTAAGAAACTAGCTCCCAATGCAGCGGCAGGCCTCCAAAACCGTGGGCTCGCCAGTTCGAAACACCATGAGAGTGAAGGCTGGGCGGGGTCTTTCAGCCCGCGGCCCTCGGCTGCCTGTCCCTAATGTTGCTTTGTGCACCGACAAGAAACTAGCTCCACATTTTCGCTTTGAAGCTTCCGGAAGCTGTAAGAAACTGTAGCTCCGAATAAAACTGTGGGCTCGCCAGTTCCAAACTCCATGAGAGTGAAGGCCGGACGGTCTTTGGGCCCGCGGCTGCCTGTGCCTAACGTTGCAGGCACCATGATGGTGATAGTTTCTTGCCCCTTGCTGCTGGTAATTAAAACCGTGGGCTGGCCAGTCCCAAACACCATGACAGTGAAGGCTGGACGGAGTCTTTGGGCCCGCAGCTACCTGTGCCGAACGTTGCTTCCAAAACTGTGGGCCCTCCAGTGCCAGACACTGTGATGGTGATGAATGCTTCTTGCCCCTTGCTGCTTGTCGCTCCCCCTTCTGCAAGCGGGGTTGGCGGACTTTGCGGCGCATCAACTTCGTCTTTCAAAGCTGACATTTTTTCCGGTTCTTTGCCCACTTCTGTACAGCCTGTTGAACTTCAACGAAAATCTGCAACGTACTTAAATGGACCCTTATGCGCAACCGACTTAACGTCGTCAGGGACGTTATTACACCCTGCACCAGCAGCACCAGCAGCACCAGCAGCACCAGGAGCACCAGCAGCACCATCACCAGGACCAGCGCCAGCCATCGCCATGAGACAGTGACAAAGATGGAAAAGAATATGCCGGCAAGAGGTCCCAAACAGTGTGTGTGAGGATAATGTAATAATGTATGATAATGTTGAGGATGATGATGATGATGATGATGAGGACGAGGAGGAGGAGGATGATGGTGAGGAGGATGATAATGTTGCGAACGATGACGTTGAGGATGATGATGTTGAGGATGATGAGGTGCAGGGTGATGATGTTGAGGATGATGAGGCGGAGGATGAGGTTGAGGATGATGATGTTGAGGATGAGAAGGTGGAGGATGAAGTGGAGGATGAGAAGGTGGAGGATGATGCTAGGAAGGTGATGATGTTGAGGATGATAATGTTGAGGAGGATGATGGATGATGATGTTGCGGAAGATGAGGTGGATGATGATGATGATGATGATGATGATGATGTGGCGGAAGATGAGGTTGAGGATGATGATGTTGAGGAGGAGGACCGATCCCAAGACCGCGACCAACAGTTTGTGCGAGCCTGCGCAATCGAAATGCGCTTGGACATCTCAGAAGAGCCATTTTATGATCTTTAAGGGAGAATTTACAGGAAAAATGCTGCGCCCCAGATGGATCCCGAGACCGCGGCGCAGGCTTTGTGCGAGCTTGCGCAGTCGAAATGCACATGGACATGTCACAAGAACCATTTGAGCACCTCGATCAAGCACCGGCCTTCACCGTAAAAACCCATCAGTGTCGACACAATGTTTGGGGCATCTAAGAAGGAGACGAACGATTGAACTAAGAAATTTCAAAAAGGAAAAAAAACACAAAATCTAAACGAACAACGGGCGACAAAGCGACGACCAATAACACCAGCAAAGGCCCAGAACCGCCATCAACACCGACGCTTGCTGTGAAGGGACCGGACCTCGCATCGGCCTGCAATTCCTTGATCAACTGGTCCTGTTGTCTACCATGCCGTGTTTGAACACCATTTTTTTTTACAGACCCTGAAACGTTTTTCAGTGGTTTCTTTCCCCAGTGTTTTTGCATTGCCCACCTGATCCATGATGAATGTTGATCGTGTTGAAATATTTTGAGCAACCTGGCGGGTGGGAACCGCGCTAGCGGTTGACCACGTTCTTCAGAAAACGTGTTTCACGTTGTGGCGCCGTGCACATTGAAAGGTGAAATTTGGTATTGATTTTGCAGGGTAAAATGCAGGGATATTTGAGTGGACAAATAGTATTAACATTTTTTTGGGGGTATGGTCAGTTTTCACTTCTGCCATAGCCGTCACAACCTTCTAAGCGTTTGCTTAGGGCGTGTCCTGTGAGACTCAAGAAATCCTTGCAATAACGTAGCATTACGTGAGTGTGCAAACTAACTTGAACATGATTGCCCCACCCCCACCCAAACCCCAAACCATGATGTAGCCATAAGACAAGTCCAGCTCAGCATCACTTGAGCGTGCAAGGTAACTTGAACGTTATTGCCCCACCCCACCCCACCCAAACCCCATATCGAAAAATTGGCACAGCTACGCGCGCGGTTTTCCATCTGCTTGAACAAGATTAGCGACTGTGCAGGTGGCTTTGTACGAGAACATCGAAAAATACCTGAAGTCAGGCACCAGCGGTTTGGAAGGATACTTTACAGGTCAAGTGCTGTGTATCGTGGCGCTGATCTGTTGGTATTTGATGGTGGCCAAGGAGTTGAGCCATGCTTTCGCGTTGCTGCGAGGCGTTTTGGCCATGCCTACAGGCCCCACGCGGATCGATACACGAGAGAATCCCTTCACAAAGGCCGTCCACTACCGCCTGCGCTGTGTGGCCTTTCGACGCAAGGTTTTTAGCACCATGTTATTTTGCTACCGTCTGCTGGCTGCAGGAGTCTTAGTCTTTGTGGGCACCTTTTTCTTGGTCTACACCGTCACTGGGTGAGCGTTTAGCCGAAGACTTTAACTTGCATACTGCTGCATACTTTTGAAATCTTTTAAAGGTGTAGATGGGCTTTGCACTCATCCCACTAAAGGACTGACTTTCAGCAACGCACCAAGGTTAGTGTGACGGAGCTGATTTTGAATGCCGTTGCGCTGGGCATCATTTTGGATATCGACGATTTGCTGTTTGATGCATTGGCGACCACACCTGGGAGGCACTTGGTGCATCAGCTGGATGCTCTGCCCATGCCATCCCTACCACGTGTCAGAGGTGCCGATGCCAAGTCAGTGTTCATGTCCATCGGCATCCCTTGTTTGACGATCCTGGTCTACGTCAGCATGCTGGGACCATTTGTGGGCACCTTGCAGGAGGCGGGGATCAAAATTGCTCAACACCTATGAAAAACATTGAAAAACCATATGTTTTTTTTTTTTAAATTGGGGATAAACTGGATGAACATCCATGCAATAAATGCATTTTTCAATGCCATTTGGGGGTTGAGGTGATTCCATGGGTCAGTTGACAGCGACTTGTGACCGACTTGACCCAGGTGAGCCTCGCCATGTGTGGAGGGAACTTGGGCTTTGTTTGGAACGTGGATAAGCGACGAGTGGTGCTGATGGCTCCCACTGTGGGTGGTGGATGGGAAGACCAGGATGCCACCAAGGTCTACGCCGTTGAAGAAGGCGAGCGCATTGGATATGGCCTGGAACAGGCGGATGCCAAATATGGCGTTTGGCTGAGCGATGTGAGCCTGGTGGGAGATCTCACAACATTATCCTTGGCGGAGAGCATAGATCTCTTCAATCCTGAGTGTGGGGATGTGGGTGATGCAGAACCGATGCTGCACTACCTCAGGTTCTTCCTTCAGAATGAGAGCATCCAAGGATGTGCGGATGCAGCGCCATTTTGCACTTCGATTTCCAGTTTGCCAGATTATGGAGTAGACGATGGCAAAGGATGGGCCACTCGTATGCTTTGCTCAGAAACATGTGGCTGTCGCAATCCTGCAGGTGAGAACTTACTTGTTCAGGGGTGTCCATATGGTTCAGGCAGAGCATGCCAAGTGTCTGAAAGCTTCCTGGAGCAGCGACAGAATGGTGTTTGTCTGGAGAAAAATGCCTCCAGTCTTCAGCAATTTGCCCCTTGGGTGCAGTGGATTGAGGCTCTGACATCGTATGGAAATCAGTCTGCGACTTTGGCAGGAAAGCAGGAGGCACTATTGATCGCTCAAGCCATGTGGGATCATGGCTGCGACTTCCAGGCCAACCTCAATGCACAAAACATCTCCTGGGGAAATTGTTTCAAGTGGAACAGCTCCTTCGGATGGGACTTCAAGACGCTGGAGGTTTTTTGTCCCCTCAGCTGCGGATGTTCCGTTCAGACTCTGGATTCGTCCTGCCCCCAGCCTTTCGGCTTTTCCTGTGATGAACTGGATCAAGAGCGTTGTCTTACCTGGAATCAACAGCACTACTGCCCGGGTCACAGTCCCTCAGTTGAAGGTGCCCTTACCATGACTTCTACTTCCACTGACCCGACTGAGATGGCCGCACTCTTTGTGCCAGTTCAGCTAGCATTGGTCAGCAGCCTAGCGTACTTTTCGGGTGCTCAAAGTCATGCTGTTCGACTTGACTTGGCACCTAGAGGTTCGCTCATCGTGGGGTCTTTCAGCATTTTTCTGGTAGATGAGACTTGGAACATCCAAACCTTGTCCTCCAACTTGTTTTCTACATCCGTTGATATTTTTGCGGCGCGGGTCTTTCACCTTCTTGCAGCTCAAGGGGTCAATACGACTGCTGCAGGGATTGATATTACCTCGTTGGGCCGACCATCGCTGCTTCCGGATCTGGGCCGAAGACTGGGACCTGGCGACATCGACGACAGGAAGTTGGTCTAACGGCTCGGTATCACTGGCGACCGCGATGACCAAGTCACCGCGTGGCCAAGCGCAAGAAATCCATGGGGCTCCAAAGGAGAGCCTTGCAGATGAGTGAAATTGAATGAAAAAGCGATGCATAAACGATGCAAGAGCGATGAAAGCAGCTGGTCTCTTGGTCACATCTTGTTTTTTGGCGGTTGCAACATTGCAACATGTTGGCAACGTATTTGACCATATTTGACTGCTTTTGTTGGAAAGAAACACTTCAATTGGCTCTTGGCTGTTTCAGCTGCGGCCAGATTTGCGACTGGCTGCCCCACCGGGGCATTGGCTACTTGCTTGGCGGCACGCCCCCAGAGGTGCAAGCGGAAGCAGCACTGGCCTAAACATCATGAGTTCATCATGAGTCATGAATACATGATTATACATGATCAATGATGAATCACCAATAATTAGTGAATAATGCGATACTACCAAAAGCACACCAAATGCATGTACTAAGCAGGAACCTGCACAAGGTGCTCTGGGATCAGATTTGCGGATCTTGTCTCAGCTTTGAATTCACAGCTTAGCACTGCGCCCAGAAAATCATCTTCCACATCACCGACGTGCCTCCAGACTACTTGCAGGCTAACGGCGGGCAGGCTGGAAGCAAGACTCTGGCATTGATGTGAGTTTCCTTGAAGGATGGGGATGGTGGGATGTTTTTGTTACAGCCAGTTACAGCTTCACATCTTGTCACAACGCTTCGCATCTTGCTTGACATTGCTGCCTGACAGATTCCAATGGACGCGGATGTGGAGTTTGAGTTTGCAGGCAGATATAGGTTCGGCCTGGAGAGATGTTAGTGCTGTCAGCTCTCGTGGTGAAGCAAGGTACTGTATAGCAAGGTAATTTCGGAATTGCATTGTTTTCATATGTTTTCATGCTTACGGAATTCATGGACAAAATTCGTATTTTTATACATGAATACCTTCAACGCTTGAACTTGATGATTAAACAATTCACCGGCTTCTAGCATCAATTATGTAGGCAGGTAGTTCCCTCCAACGAAATGCAGTGTTTCGCGAATGCCAACACTCTCCTGGATAAAACTTTGCGGCCTGGACTTGCTGAAATCTTTGCAGTGGGGTGCAGCCAGGTCAGATTTTTTATTTCCCTGCTTCGCAGCAAACTCATCAGGGCCATCCAACTTTTTTCAAACATGGCTAGGCGGCTACTTGAAATGTCCACATTCTCAGAGGGTTGGGGTCCACATTCACCATGGTCATGTCCCAGGGGCCGGAAGCGCGCGGTGAATCTGGTCTTCCCAGTCATCAGGACCTTGCTGTTGTTTACTGGCCTTGATGTTCCAACATGTTCCAACATGCCTGGCGGCCGTCAGTTTCTCACTTTCCTATCTTTCCTTTCGTGTTCCACATGATGGTCAGGAACTTCCATGAACTGGGACTACTTCCAGAGGTAAGCGGGCTGATTTTTGGATTCTTGGCTGTCGAAGGTGCCCCCATTGACCCCATGTCCTTCCCACTTCAGGTGGTGGAAGGAGCTGCAAGATCCTTGGGCCCCTGACTCGAAAGGTTTGGCAACCGCGACTGTCACATCTTGTTTCATGTTTTACCCTGTCAACAATGAAAACTCAACTGAATTGGACAGAAGCTACACGTACCTTGACTACCCGGTCTCATTGTAAGTGGCCCACACATAAACTTTATATAATCTTTAATCATCTTTAATCAATTGGTCGGTTTTGTCGTTTTCAGGCACAGTTGGAGATCCTATCTGCAGCGTTTCATCTGGTGTCCACTGTGGCGCGTCTAGCCACGGCACGGCAACATGGCGTCGATGGAAGTGATGGATCCCATTGCCTCGGGGGCCGATGGTGCTGATGGTGCCATCCCAAGCCCGAAGATTAGCCAAAAAGAGATGAGACAAGAAGGACTGATGCAACTTTCAGATGCTGAGGGATTTGCTCAATTACTTTTTCACTTGAGTTTCCTTGCAATGTGTGCAATGCTGGCGACCTGGGCCTATGATCATGGCTACTGGGCCGTCTTGCTGGCTGCAGAGATTCCCTTGGGCATTGGAGAGTCCTTCCTGTTCAATGGCTTTCATGAAATGGTTCACAACACGGCCTTTGAGACACGCTTCTTAAACACTTGCTTCGCACATCTCTTGGGCTTCGAATGCTTCCGCGGAGCCAAATGGTTCTGGTGCTTCCATTGGACTCACCATCGATTTACCAACGATCCCTCTAAGGATCCAGAGCTCAGTGGTGAAAGTGTAGATTTAGATGATCCCACCAAATCTTTGAGTGGATATTTACAGTTCATTAGTGGTTACCCCTTTGGATTTGAACGCGTGGTACGCATGGCACGCACGGTTTGTTACAACGAAGTGGACCCTTGGGTGGTTGACAAGCCAGAAACGACTCAGAGGGTAGTCAGGATGGAGGCTGCCTGCTACCTGTTTGGCTACAGCTGTGTGTTTCTCGTTTCGCTGTTGCGACCAAGCATCGGCATCAAGGTTGTCTTGCTGTGGATCCTTCCTCACTGCATAGGAGCAGGACATCTGCGGCTCTACCAGTTTGCAGAGCACCGCGCCTGCAAGATGGGTCCTTACACCGATACTTGGTGCTTCCGAGAAACGTCTTTTTTGTTTTGTGTCTTTTCTTTTTCCCCGAAGCCAAAGAAGTTTTCTGGAGGTTTTTGGAGGCTCAGGGTTTTCATTTTGGTGCCAAACCAAGGACACCAATGCTTGGATTTGTGCAAGGACCACTTCCACCTGGTGGCTGTACAAAAAGTTGGCCTGGTACATGCCTTACCATGTCGAGCACCATGCCTGGCCAAATGTACCTTTCCACAAGCTTCAAGCTGCTCACGAGCTTGTGAAGGACACAGGTTCATGCCACAGCTATAGCTCAACATTGGCGGGCTGAGATCGACTGATGGACCCACAAACTGGTCATTTCTGGTATCAAACCATCCATGTTTGGTTCACTTAACATCTTAACATATTCACTTTGAGCCACAGCAGCATGATTTGTGGACCCAATCAATCAACAATACCTCAAGCCACTCTTCTCTAGGCAACAAATGGCAACAACACATATTCGTTTGCCACTGCACAAAATGAGCTTCTGTGAACAAAGACGTTCTGTTGTACCCGGATCCGGATGGATCCGGCTCCAAATCCGACCTGGTTCCCCAGGATGCCTACAAGAAACAAGGCTTCATGAAGATCCCAACAGGTTGCAGCCCTTCTGGGGAGGGTGGATATTTGAACCTGCACTGGGTGAACTTCAAACGAATGCTCGAGAACATCTCTGCCAAGGCTGCGAAAGCTTAAGCCAAGGCTGGCCCCCACGGCTGTGCCAAGGCTGTGCCGCTTGACTGCTGTCCTGCAACTTCTGAGAGGTTCTTTCCGGGCTTATGAAACCCCTGGATGTTGTGAGAACATTCGGTATTTTCCTGATGGAAACTGCTCAGAAGGATCAAATGATCAAACAGAATTTGCCTATGTACACCATCACAACCACGTTAGGATCGGAAATACGGAAATTCACAGCTGTCAATTCGAGTCTCTCAGCAGGAATACCAGTTCTGGTAAAGCTGCTTTGCCTGATGGAGTCATGCAATGTATATAATCATTCCCACCGGAAGTCGTTCTTTGTTTTCACAAACATTTCAGCTCTTCGCATTTTCTGTCTTTCTCGTGCTGTGCTTTCCTTGACTTCCGAAATTTCCGCAGAAAAATCCTCTGCTGCACATCGTCGCACAGTTTCGAACGTTCCGAATGTGCTCGCAGCGATTTTGTTACAAAACATTGGGACACGATTGGAGCTGCAGGTCACGATTGGAGCTTGGGATACGCCACACTTCATCGATCACCGAAAAAGTGTCGCACATCGGCACTGACGGCCCCCAGGCATGGACCCTCGAGAGAATCCCGAAGCGCCGCGGCTCATCACACCTGCACCGGCCAGGAGCTGAGACATTTCAGAGCTGAAACCTTCCAGGATTGTTTCGGAGGTTAGACATGGTTAGACATTTTTTTGTCGTGTCTTTTATGTCTTTTATGGTCTTAAACTTTCTACATTCAGCAAGAACTCCAGCGCAAGATCTGAAATTCGGAGGTTCAACAGGAGGCGATCCCTCGAATTTTGGAGGGTGACAATGTGGTGGCATCCTCAAGTGCAAGCGGGCAACGTCACATGGACAACTTTTACAATTTCGAGGTCATCATGCGTTTGGAGTAATTAAGAAGATCAGATATCAAGTTGGGTGGGCACACCAGGACAAAATAGTGAACTGCACCTGGAACCGCAGTGCAAATAGAAATTGTCGTTTCACCTTGAGGTCATTGCAGCAGAGACTGGCTCGGGGAAGAGTCTAGCGCAGCTCGGCAAGAACTTCTTGCATGAAAATTCTTGCCTTGTTGACACTGAAGGTTTCCCACGGGTGAGTCTTATCATGTCCTATCATGTCCTATCTACGTCGAAATTGCACAAATTCATATCGGTGGTACATGGTGGTACTGTGAGGTACATGCTCCCAATGGTGCAACTGGTGCGCAAGCTCGCGCAGGCGGGTGGTTTGTCGTGGGGATGAGGCTCGGCGATAGGCGACGTGGGACGTGACGTGGGACAGGCCAGAAACCTGGATTACGGTCTTGCCTACCGAGCTGCTTCACCCTTGGCGCTGGCCGGGCAGCTCAAGCCACGGAAGATCAGGATGGATTTAAACTGATTTACCCTCTCGTAATTTGTTACATAGCTATTGAAAATGACCATTTATAGTGGATTTTCCCATTGAAAATGGGGATTTTCCATAGTTATGTTAGTTTACCAGAGGGTAAATGTTTTTTGATTCAATCTTTGATTCATTTTTTCCTACATGAATCTAAACGAGGCAAGGAACTGTCAGCCTTGCTTTTTTGAGAACAATTCCCAGTTCATGTGGAATGGTACGAATGGTACTGATACTTCAGGAATCTTCAGCGGTTCAGGACACATGCAGCCTTGGCTCAAAGGGCGAAATCAGCCTGTGAAGCAAGCCCCTCTTGTGACTGATCCTGCAGGGGCACTCAATCTGGACCAGGATGTTGTCTTGCAGATTCTTTGGCTTAGGAGGCCATGAGCTACAAACAATAACATCTCAATAATTCGCAAGAGTATTTTTGATAAACATCTGTTTATCATTTGTTTATCCATTTTTCAAAACAGGGGCAATTAGAATTGATTATGCCTTCTTCCACAATTTGAGCCGCTCTTTCCAAAGTGTATCATTTTTTTTGGAGGGGTAAGTTGGCGGGGCGACCTCAAACACTTCCCACATTGCCTCCGCCACCTTTGTTCCTTGGAGTGCCATAGTTCTGTTTGACTCCAAGGTGGAAGCGACGATGGTCCAAATCTCAGTGCCCCGTCACCATACCGCCATAACCTGTTAGGGCCTTAGGGGCATAAGCATTGTAATTAATTACTCTTGTCACATTTGTATTTGTCACTTCTTGTCACTTGTGCGCATTCATCTGCGAGTCTCCTGCAGTCTATATGTTTTTTCGTCACCAGCCAAGCTTGATATTACCCTCTGGTTATTTAACATAGCCATGGAAAATCCCCACTTTTTAATAGGTAAACCATCTATAAATGGACCATTTTCCATGGCTATGTTAAATAACCAGATGGTAAATGATATTGTTAAATGATATCTATGATCTTCAAGAACCTTCAAGCTACAGCTAGCTGCAGTTTTTCAACATGGGATACCGAGGTCTGGAGACTGAAAATGACATCAAGCTCAGAGGCAACAGCAGATGTATGGCACTTTTTTTTGGGCACGGATATATATGGCTCCCTGAGACTCCACCCTTGATGGGTTATGATGGGTTTGTAGATCACGAAACCAGGAAACCACACTGGCTGATAATCGACAAAAATTGGGTCACATGACAATCATACATCACCATACTGCCCTGCCAATACCAGAGCAGTCTGGCCGCCTGGCGCAGGTCAAAGATGTTGAATTCGCAAAAGCTCCTGATTTCGATGCCTGCCTGGCAGCAGTTCGTTCCCTGTCAGGGAATTTGCACCTGCTGGGCGCGATCAGTGCTTGATGTGGTTGTGGTGAGGGCTTGTTCGGTTTTGACACGTTTTTTGAACCAGCTTAGAGATGAATTATGTGTATATTGTTTATATTGTTGATACATGAGCAGATGTTCGAAATTCCAAGTGTCTAAGATGAGAATCCAAGGCCACAACCTTTGTTTGCAGACAAGGAAGTACAGCAATAGACCTGTCAATGTAATCTGCAAGGATGGACAGTTACATTTCTCTTTCGAGCAGTGGGTTCTGGCAGAGGCGCCTGGAAAGATTCCTTTCCCATGATGACGTACCACGATGAGGCGCAACTTTTCCGGTTCACGTTGCTTACACAACTCCATTGTATCTTTCACATGTTGAAGGCGTTGACAACTACAGCAGAGAATTCAGCATCATTTGACTCATTTGACTCATTTGACTCTCTCTCTCTCTTTCTCTCTTCCCTGCATGAGAATCATTCCAAAGACTCTCAGGCATATCAGGACACAAGACAGCCATAGGCGATGTTTTTCATCACGCGAGATAGACATCATTGCTGCAGGAGGACTGCTGCCTTTTGACCAAGCAGAGCTTCCATGAATTCCTGGCCCTGGGTGAAGATGCCGGACAGGCCGGACAGCTTGGGACAGCTTGGGACAGCTTGGGGAGCGGCATCGCTTGAGAGCTGAAGGTCCTGTAGCTTTTCTGCCTGATCCTTGATGATCTTAGTATATCTTAGATTATCTTAGTATGTTTTGGTCCTTTTCTTGTACCATATTGTCATATTGTACTCTTCGCCCACTCTTGAGTATAGACTATTGCTATATTCCCAGAAGAGCCATGCAGGGGATGCCCGGATATTGGGTTTCTTGATGTGGTTCAACGCTAAATCCTGCGGGGATACTCCTCTGGACTCTTGAAGACTGGGTTGGTCGTGGGCTATGCTCGCAGCCAATATCAGATGCAGTTTGGCCACAGATTCTGCTTTTTGGAGGTCCTACACATTAGCCTGGACAATGAGACAGGCCCTAACCTCAGTTTTTTATCAGGTGCACCGCCATCAATGCCATCATTGATCAACATCCGTGGACCGTTCAGGTCTTGTGGTGAGTCGATCGAACTCGGACATCTCGAGTGGCTGGGAACACGTGGAGATTGAAGACGCACAGGATGCACCAGAGGTGGAAGAAGGCACCTGTAGAGAGTTGCTTTGTGGGCTTCAGGTGTTTTTTTTGGGTATGGTTGGAATGGTTGGAATGGTTGGAATGGTTGGAATGGTTGGAATGGTTGGAATGGTTGGAATGGTTGGAACATAGGCTATCATAATGTATCATAGGGATTCATAGGGGCCATACATGGTTATCAGATGTCAGCATTTTGTGACAGAGGCCAGACAAATCTTCCGGCAGACCCTCCGCTTACTGACACTTGGTGCACAGAAATGGTCAGTCTAGTATTGTGACTAGTGATGGGTGAGGATAGGTGTATTATATATCTATAATGTAACGTGATGTAATGTAATGTAATGTAATGTAAATGTAATGTAACGAACATAAAATTCAAAATAATTTGTGTGTCTTCTTCAAATCTACCTAGATTATGTGAAATACACAATCACCTAGGACCTAGCACATACAGCGTACAACAGATCATGCAATCTTGTACAATGAGGGTAAAAGTGCATATTTTATAAATAGTCCCACAACATTTGTAAATAGTCCCAAGGCCTATTTTTGTCCTCACAGTTAAAGAGGCCGATCCACTTCCCAATCTATATTATATATATTTATATTATATACCCTCTGGTAATTTAACATAACTATGGAAAAATCACCATTTTCAATGGGAAAATCCACTATAAATGGTCATTTTCAATAGCTATGTTAAATTACCAGAGGGTAATTCACTGGAGGAATGGGTATGGGTTCCAATTGTACCAATTCAGTTCTTTGGCCACGGACCTCCATGTTTTGGGGTACCCAAGTGTAACCCACCAACATGAAATATTCAGATTTTTCAAGGATAACGTGGCTGCACATGGCCAACGTTCAGTGCTGAGGAGGACAAGCGGAGGCCATTTGCGAACTGGTTTTCTCTGCTTCGAAGAGAGTCCAAAATTAGATGCTCAGCTGCTCTCAGCTGCTCTCAGCTGCTCTCAGCTCTCAGCTCTCAGCTGCAGGATTTTGCGGTCGTGCGATCCAAGGTCCTGCTGAATCACCAAAGCAGATGGAGGCTGCAGCGCCCTAGCCGCCATAGCCGCCATAGCCGCCCTAGCCCCTCAAGCTGATATCTCACAGGATTTTGAAACTAAAGGAAGTGCTTATTTTGAGTCAACATTAAAGCGACTTGATGCGCAGCCGCCAGGATGAGAACGAAAGTGAAAACTTGAAGATTCCAGATGCAGACAAAAAGGACCCGTTTGTCCGGGATGTACCATGTTAAATTCGAGTTGTTTTTTGAAAGGTTTGCTCGGTGGGGAAGACAATCTGATTTCAACTTTGACTGGATTCAGTGTTTTACTTGTCGCATGGAATACTTTTCAAAGTCAGTCATAGCCAGGGGTACTCTTTTTGCAGGATTTGAAAGATGGCGACGCTGGAGAAGCTGTCGAGGTCAGATCATATCAGATATGGCATACGAACATCTCATATGTACAAGGTGTGTAACTGCGCCTTTCGTATCGTCTTCGTTGTTTTGTGACTTTGTATGTTGAAACAAGTTTCATTATGAGGTGACTTTGTATGGTGGATCATCTCATAGCTCATAATATTGGATTATTATACATCATTATTTTCCAGTAGTTTCGTCTCATAGCTCATCACTAGAGGATCCTACTGGATCCCCTGGATCACCTAAGGTGAAAGCGAAGGATGCCTTGGAACGCAGAAGCTTGGCCGAGCGAACTAGGGTGACTATGATATTCTCCGATAGAATATAGAACTATAGAATAACATGGAATAACTATATATATATATTGGATGTTGGATATTGAAGATATTGAAGATATTGAAGATATTCTATAGATTTCTATAGTTATTCTCTGAATAATACCAACAAATAATTTTGTTCACTTTTTTTGACAAAACGCACTGTGATCTGATGGACATAGATCATGTTATCCCATAAATAAGTGCATGATCTATTTGATGCATCGCCTGGTTCAGCTCTGTCCCACACGCCATGAGGCTTTGGCACATAATATGAAGTTTCCTGTTTCCTTTTACCCCTCCGATAGTTGGAACGATGTGTTTGTTTGCTGCTTGATTCTAATGGTTGACGCTTCACCTTCAAGCCACAACTGTGTTCCTGTGTTTCTCAAGCGGCTTCAACTTGGTTATGAAGGTTAAGATCAAAAAGAAACCACAAGACAGCAAGATCAGGAAACACGTTTGTAAGATAGCCAAAACAGCAAAGATGTCTTTGATGTGTCAAGCGTTGGATCTTTAACATGCCACGCCCTAACTATGCAAGGCACCAGACAAATTAGCCCCTTGGGTACTTTAGAACCTTGGAGGATGGAGAATAATTTCTTTAGTATCGGTTGATAAGTTTCATATCATCATTCACTAAAGTTTAATAACCAACTATAGTGACCCTTAAGCCTCAATCATTTTTTAACCAACTTTAATTTCTGCCAAGCCCATGCCGAGGTTGCCAGGTGTGTCGTGGCTTGTTGCGCTTGCATCAACCGGCGCCCTTCGCCTATTGGAGCTGCGACGGATGTGGCAGCCGCAACCTCCGCAAAGATGCCATGTGGGGTTGTCGCTTGACATCGCTTGACCGGTTCAACCAGGGTACAGAAAAAATGCTGACCATATGGCGGTTTTGGGGAGGTTTTCTTTAATAAAAAGACCATGTTTTGTCCATGTGGACTGTTTTGCGTTATCTATACAGTATTGTCACAATTGTCCCACTAAAAAATCCCATGGGATCCCATTGAAAAAAAACAAGTTTTTTTCGCATTATCCCATGAAAATTCCACCAAAGTCCCAATGGTTTCGTGGTGATATGAAGTGCACCCACTGAGGCTCCCATCCGGATACCTGTGATTGGGGCTTGTGCACGGGTTGCCATCCAGACAAGGCGCGTTTGGACTATTTAACTGACTGTGGTCTTTTCCTTAGCAAGGGAGCTGAACCAGCCAACATAATTATATAGGGATATTATATATTAAATTATTAAATGATACTATATAATCATTATAATATTATATAGGGATATTACGCTCTGGTAAATAAACATAGACCCTGAAAATAGCCAACATTTTTCATGGAAACTAGTCTTCCAACCCTGATGAATGCCAGGGTCTATGTTAATTTACCAGAGGGTAAATGATACCATGATTAATCATGACTAATCATTTACGTTTTGGGTCCATGACAGCAAGTCTGGGAGGTCTTGGACACTGCCTTCGTGTCTGACTTTCATGCACCTTTGGCTGGGATGCTGCTCACAGGTCTGATCCTTTGAGCCTTGACAGCACTGGAGCCCACTGGAGCGGGCTATAGTTTTGGTATCATAGGCCAACTCATCAACTTCTGCTGTTCCAGCAATTCCGGAACCAGACCTTGTGGAATTTGTGGACCCACCAAACGGTCAGTCTTGCCAGAGTTTTTTCGTTGGCACAGTCAGACTCCAGGCTCAGCTTCAAGGTGCCTCAGATGCGTGAAGTGACCAGGTAGCTTAAAGTAGCCAACCAATATTTTGATGTATTTTATGTGGTCATCTGTCCTTGCCCCAAGCCATTTGTTCCACACACACTAAGCCACAGACACTTTGAAAGAGACGTTAGTTGCTTGTTGTGTGACTGTTACATCTGTTATTAACGTTTGATCACGTTAGATCCTGCTGGCTTTGAGGTTCTCCTCATCAATGTGAGGTTCTCATAGGAACTTTGTGTCGATCTGCCTGGAATTCAACACGACTCTTCCCCTTTTGGATGGGAGATCTGGCTGCGAAAATTGGCTCAGAGAGGCCAGTGACGACTGTTTCAGGAACTGGCACCGACTGGGTCCGTCCAGCTGACAATTCTCATCCTAGTGCTGCTTGAACAGTAAATGGGAATTTGAGCCCTGATCTGAAGTCAGATAGGAGAGATATCTTGTCGCACCTCCTGAAAGATTCGTCACTAATTGGCAATGCCAGACCCTGCAGATTTGTTCAACCTTCGTGGATGGTCATAGATGAACAATCTGAAGTATCTGTCCTACGGACTTCAGTTCTATCTCCCCTTTGCCCAACAGCATCAGCGGACCACCATTTTTTTTTGCGCAAGAAAAGGTGAACCTGACAGTGAACAGGATTTTCAGTGGTTTTGTAAGAGCATTGGTGGTTGCACTGATCGAGCTGACCCTCTTCGACCCATTTGAAGCTGTGATTTGCGAGGAGCAGTGGCTCAGGATGTCGGCTTTTCGTACATCAGACATCTAATATCATATTGCTCAATGGGATAGATTCAAGGCCTTCTATTTGCAAGATCCTTAGGCTAAGTGCTATGACGGGCAACAGTCGGTGGTTTATAGGATATCCTGGCATCACCATGTCATCATCATGGATTCGTATCGATCATCATATTGATTACCATATTGATAATAATCACATCATCACATCATCATATCATCATATCATCATATCATCATCATATCATCATATCACCATATCATCATATCATCATCATATCATCATCTCATCACATCATCACATCACCATATCATCATATCATCACCATATCATTATCATATCACCATGATAGGGTCATCATGTCATAGGATCTATGGCATCCAGCTCCAGCTCCAGTCGAATTGGACCGCGGTCCGTCAGTGCACCAAACCTCCCAGCGGTCGCCGCGGTCGCCTGGGCCACGGCTCGAGGTACCTGGCATTCAGCCAGCCGAAACAGGGGTCCAAACATCGATTTCTTGGGTGGATTGAAATCAGGTCGGAAATTATATTGAAATAACATGGAACTACAAAATAGAAAGACATCACGTTACGTTTTTTGGGATTTAAATAGTGTGAATGCCAGCAAGAAGTTCCAAACAGCTGGTGTTCATAGAGAATTTCACTGGACATTTAGGAAACCTGTCGAAAGGCCATAGCTAGAAAGTCAGAAGTGACTATCGCCTGTACATAGCCTCCACCGGAGGCAGCTTGACAGGCAATGCCTTCGCATTGCCTTATCTTTTTTGGGGATCCGTGGAGAGAATTTCCATACTTGCGGCGGCTGTAATATGAATCGTCAGGAGATCTTAGGAATAACATGAAAAAACATGGAATCACATATTAGCATATGGAATGATGGAATGATGTCGACGAGATGTATCTTACAAAAAAAAAACAGAAAGTTGAAGCTACGCCTCTCAAGAACAGGTCATCTCCGGATCCCTTGTCAGGCTTCCCAATGTCGTGCAACGGAGAAAAAAAAAACGTGTTTGGTGATCGGGGAGGCCATCCAGATCCAGCGTAGCAAGGGTCGTTTTGGAAGTAGCCCAGCCAGTTCCCAGCTGGGAGATTCAGCAATTCGGAGCGGGCTGAGGCCATTTGTCCAACGCGGGAACTGGCCATGCAGGCGGTGAGGTTTTGTGATTTTTCGCACGTTGGTGACCAACCCTTCAGAATACTTCTAAGAAATGTTTTTTTTGCATCAGCACTGGCTAGTTTCTGATCCCACAAAGAACTAGTGGTGGCAGAGGATTGTACACCATTCGAGACCATGGCAACTTTGAAGGCCTACAGAACTTTGAAGCTCATCAGCTACTGCGCAAAGACACTTGGACTCGGAATGAGTGTGTTGGGAAAGTTTCCCCCTCTGCCATGGGATACTCAGGCCTTCTCACAAGTGTTCCCGCAGTGGTTGCATGGTCAAGGTGAGCACAGAAAGGATTGCATACTATTGAAACATCTTGAAACATATTGAAACTATTGCTAGATTCTGCTAGATTAGATAGTTTGATAGTGCTGGGTGCACCTGGGTGCACCTGGGTGAACGTGGCGTTGACGGTCACAGAAAAAGTCCGTACTCGGCCTCCAAGGTGCCGAGTACGCTTGGCCGGGGCCGCAGGCGCATCTTTGGTGCCTGGCATCTTCGGTGGACCCAGACCAAAGATAGAGGTTAGATAACTGTTAATGGACTTAGATGATGGACTTAGATGATGGACTTAGATGATGGACTTAGATGATGGACTTAGATGATGGACTTAGATGATGGACTTAGATGATGGACTTAGATGATGGACTTAGATGATGGACTTAGATGATGGACTTAGATGATGGACTTAGATGATGGACTCTTAGATGATGGACTCCAAAAAGACTTAAAACTTTCAAAACTCTAAACTCCATTTCAAAACCAAAATAAACTCCATCTAACCCCTATCTTGTTTTGACAACGGGGCGTGTAAATACACGACGTGCGCTTCGTGAGAATCCTCTGATTATCGCTGCCCAAAGCAATGATAAGGAGCATTGCACTTCTGAGGTCCATGGGGGCTCAATGACATGGAAGAAGTCGACGCCACAGTTGCAGAAACCAGGAGACACTAGATCAACACAGAATCAACACATATTGAATGATGATTTTGCGACAAGTCCCACAAGTTCCCATGTCTCTTGTGCTGACATATTACAAGACAGTTTTCCAACTGGTTGCGTCATGGCTTTAACAGAACCAAGTTGATGAATTGCCTTGCAAATTGCACATCCCTGGACTTTCACGAGGCAGCGGCAAGAGATCTCCCAGATTGTTGACATTTTGGTTTGCACCCCTGACAGGCGAGCTTGGATTAACTAGGACTCAGACATCAATTTGGACGTCTGGGGCTGCTCCACTTTCTACATTAAAACTGAGTATCATTCGGTATAATGCACCAGACAATTTGGTGTTGTGGCTGTGACAATTTTCCTGTGGGACTTGGACAACTTGTTTAGAAACAATGGCTAAACATAGGCACAACTTCTCTGGAAAGCCATGTGAATTCTTGCTGTGAAGCAATGACGGCTGAAAAATTTGATAGCTGCTGCGCATGTTGCACAAGGCATGCCAAAACAAGTTGTGCCACAGATTCTCCATTCTTTCTGCAGACTAGTGACCAACCTGCAAGCCTCCACAGTCCACCATCGCATCCACAGAACTCCGCTTGTGAAATCAGAGGTTTCTGACCTCGAGTAAAAAGTCAATGAATGAAGCCATGATTTGTGAACGAAGAGCATCTGAGCATCGACCAACAAGAGCAATCCACACTGGACACATTTCAATCTGCTTGTCTGATGGATGCGCTTGCCTTCCTTCAGCCGCACCCCAGGTGTGTTGCTGTTGTTACAGGTGGATTTTGAGATCCGGAGTTGCGAATTCTGTGTCAGTTATTGGGCATTTGTCTTGCTTTTAAGATTCTGCTTGTGCTCGTGGCCCTCGTGTGCACTGGAAAGCTGACTTCAGGTGGACGCATCATGGAGCGCCTTCAGGCCTTGCAGCGGTAGTTTGTTGTGTGATTTCGATGCTTAGCGAACTGTCGATGGATTGTGCAAAATGCAGGATATGGAGGCATGAGTAATGGCTTGCAGGACAGGGAAGAGCAGGTTGAGAATGTCCAAGCCCAATTCACCGAGTGGATGGCAAGACCCACGGTCCAATAGAGCGGAAAAGAAGTGTTGATGGAAGTTGATGGACGTTGATGCGATTGATGGACTGACTTTCCATTGCTCCAGGTTCAGTTGCCATGCTATCGGTTTCTTCATTCCCTCTTCTTTCCCCATATGCCCAACTTTTGAGGAGCATTTTGGCTTGTCAGCTGCAGATGCCAGGAGCGGTTGGAAGTCATACTGGGGAAGCGATCCTACAGCAGTTGGTTTTGCCGAGTTGGCAACAAATTTCCAGCATCAACAGCCTCAAGACTGAGTAGGAAGTCAGGGTACATAGGTAGAGCATGGTAGAGCCAGAATGGCAGGTCTACAAGTTAACTAAGTTAACAGTGTAGCCAGAATGTCTGTGAGTGGATGATCCAATGGGAGGGTTCAATTTTTTTTGGCAGGGCAGAACAGCAACTTCGAGATTTGCGAAGGCGCCACGCAGAGGCCTGGGCACGAAGAGCCCTGATGTGCTTATGGTATGCCAATGCTATGCCATAGCGCCATAGCTGTGGACGCCAGGAAGTTGAGTGTGATTCAGTATGATATATTGTGACATGATTGTGACATGATTGTGACATGATTGTGATCACATGTGATCACAATGGGCATTATAATCATAAGAATATATAAGAATCATAAGCAACACGTCAATCTGACAAATGCCTACCATGACCTTGCTATGCGTAGGTCATGGCCGTGTGTCGGCCAGCACAGCGGCTGGTGCCAGTGAAGCAGGCGCGGCCAAAGCGCTGTCCTCCGATGGAATCATACCGGCCATCATTCAAGTGACCCACATTCCAGTGGCAGACGAAACAACCGGCAGATGTGTCATCAGATGCGGATCCTAGCAGAAGTTTCTAGCAGTGCATGTTGAGCTAGGAATCCTTTCCCTGCATCTCAAGCACACAATGGCCGCTTGGTGGCAGTAGCTGGTCAACTGGTCACTGCGATGCCGCAACGCAACAGTTGCCGAGACCCGAGACCTGAGGCCAAGGATCCCAAGGCCGACACAGGAAGAGGAGCGGTCCTGCAGGGACGCAAGAAATTGACAATATCCTCTATATCTATATATATATATATCTATATATATATATATATCTATATATCTATTAATATATATATATATACTGTATATTATTATATCTATATAGTATGCAATATCATCAAGTAATCTCTGGCAATCTGGCAGGTAGTGACTGAGTCTTTTCAAGAGGCATTGTTTTGCCCCACATGGATCCCGCGAAAGATAAACTTGCAGTTTGCGAAAGTAACATTCTATTTCCCAAAGAATGGCCGTTTCCGGATGAAAGAGTTTAGATTCTTGATCAACCACCATATATTGACATCGAAAGTAATTGTGGGAGGCACTGGACAGATGGGCGGAAGGCCTTTCTTGTTCGCCAGGGCCAACATTGGAGCTTTAAGCATCTAACAGTGTATATATATATATTTATATATACACACTTGTTTTGGAGTTCAAACAAATTTGTTCCTTTTACCCACACCGGTATTCAGTGCATTCATTGGTCTAAAGTCTTAAGGCCACGTGTCCTTCTCCGCAACCCCAGGATGGAGACGTGGTGTTGGAGGACGATGAAGAGGATGAAGAGGAAGAGGAGGAAGAGGAGGAAGAGGAGGAAGAGGAGGAAGAGGACGAGCCGCCCCATGTTCAAGTTTAAGTTTATAAGCTAGTTTAAATTGAAAAACTAATCATTTTGACGCTTGTTGTGTGCGATATTGGCGATATGTCCATAATTTCCCGAGTATAGTATTGCATATTTGTATCATACATACATGATACATGCAACAATGTATAAACCATTATATAAACCATTGTGTAAAACATCATCCAAACCATGATACAAATCTAAAACCCTTAATATATATATATATCTATACGACACACATGTATATGTTCATATCATAGTAATTCCCAAACAGCAGCTGGCCATATATTCAAAGTTCTTTCATGATGTCGGCGTGAGGAGGTGGAAGAAGAAAATCTGGAGGATTTCGAGGCCAAAACACAATGTGGATCATTGATGAATGTCCCACATCCCACCATGGATTGTTGTTCTAAGTTGTGTTTTTCTAAATCTTCACAAAAAAAGTATGAGATCTACCAAGGTTCTGATTTTTTGTGTCTTTGGTGTAGCTTCCCTGGCGGTGTGATGTGTGATGTGTGAAGTCAGCTGCAAGGTCCATGGTGGTCCATTGCAGACCTCGGAAGCGAGACTTGTCGGGTCAGGGTGGAGGATGGGGCCCAAATGGGGGGCTGCTGAGTTGATTATGTCAAGCAGCATGATTCCGATGGTCAGAATTCCCTACTGGGCTTTGTTTTTTTGCTGCTACACTGAACTGAACCAGAACACATGTCATACCACATGCTGTGGCATATCTAGCAACGACTCAAACCAGCAAAGTTGTTGTCGATTTAGAGCAATCTGTCAAATGGACAAAGGGAGAGAAGCGATTTTGGATTGAACAAAGGAGTAATGAGTAATTCCACCACAGGCTTATGTTCCAACACCCCAACATTCAGAACAAACCCGGCAATCTCAGTGATTAAGATTTCCCCGTTTGGGAGCAGTGGCTGGCGTCTCGTTACAAGGATTGCAACAGCAAAGGCCTCTGCAGCAGCAGAAGCTATGGCACATGCGCGGAAGGCAACCTGCTTTCGCCTGTGCATGCACGTGCCTTCATTTCATTGTGACCATTAGACAATACCCCAATTCATTGATGGAAGGCGGACACGAAGCAGCTTGTCAACTTGCCAAAAATCCGTGGATTCTATGCAAGAAGTCACTGTCGAAGCAACAGCTTTTGGCCAGGAACTCTTGCTTGAGCGAGCAAAGTGGCAAGAGGAGAAGAAACAGCTGGAGGAAAAATTGAAGGCGACAGTGGGCGACAGTGGGCGGCAGTGGGGGCTTCCCTGCGATGGGTTGGTGGAATATAGGAATGTCATGTGATGTCCATCTTCATGGTCTTCCAAGCCACGCCTCAGGAAGCGAAACGGGCGAGCCTTTCACAAGAGACAGGCTGGAGCAATTTTACTTTGCAAAAAACAAAACAAAGCTCAAGACGCTCAAGACAGACTCAAGGAGGAGTAACAGCCAAAAATGCAACGAGATCCTGCTGCATTTTGATGGAGGCATCATGGGCTTGGACCTGTTCGAAGTTGGCCCATGGTTAGCGCAGCAGCTGCCCAAGAGTGCCGCAAATGCACGTCCTGGCCATCAGGGGCCTGAGGCAGATGTGTATCTTTGATGTTTTGGGAGAATTCAGGGGGATTTCAGGGGGATGGGCCTTGGTTTCATTGGTTTTCTGCTCATGTGATATACCATGCTATAGCATAAAAGTCATAAAAAGGTATGAAAAGGTGAATTCGGGTGCTTCCAAACCACGCTGGAAGGTTTTTCTATTGAACATTTACCGGAAATCCTGACTGGAAACACGACTTTTCTACAGGCAGGTGCAGGCTTGGACGCACCGCGCCAGATTCTTCTAGATGAACTTCTATGGCCACTGCTTGGGGCAGAAGTCCTGACAACCGTCACGGTCACTTGGCTGAAAAAGGGACGGGACAAATCGGTCAATTTGTCAAGCAAGATTCACCCACTTGCCTCTGGCTTACATCCCTATACTAATTAGATCTAATTAGCAACTCTGGCAATCAGATCATTGAAGACGGGTGGCAGTGTGGCCTTGAATGAATCCGTGGTCTATGGACTTCAGTTTAATTCGGATGCGTGACTCGTCTAACCTCGTCTTACCTTCATGTCTGAGTGAAACGCGCACTCTAACGGAGAGGATCCGTTCTTGATTGCAGAACTGAATCTTTGAAGCAAAGAGAGTCTTTGGTCACATGAGGTTTTTCTTTGTCCAGCACATGCGTTACTATGATGGAATTTTTAGCGCATTCTGACCCTTAGGAGGACTACACTCTCAACTTTGGCATCTTTGTTGGAGCGAAGGATAGCAGGCCACCAGTGCCCGCTCTGCATTTGTGGCTTATAGCTTGGCCGCTTCCCAGAGCCAGTGATAGCTTTCGACAAAAGCCTACTTTTGGATACTTTTGGATACTTTTGGACGATGACAATATCACAGTGTAGTAGTGATCTATTATAATGTAGATAAGATAGTGTAGTGATCCCCTATGTTGCAGCCTGGGTCAACATATTTAAGGTCCTGGGAACCACAGCTATTGTTTCGTTGCGTATTCCTGAGCAGTAAACCATCATAGAATCATAAACCATCCTATGCTGTGGGTACAAACAGCTCTTGGATTCAGCCCATCGTCCCACATCCATCTTCTCATGGTTGCTGCTTAAATTTTAAATCAATACACATACACATATTATATATAATTATATATATACTGTAATAATATATATATAATAATAATAATACTAATAATAATAATACTAATAATAATACTACTACTAATAACAATAATATATTAATTAATTATAATATAATAATATTATATATATATATGATTTAATATCTTGACATATGTGTTCGTTGACTCAAAAATCCCCATGGATGGGCACCTTGCAGGCGGGGCATCCTGCGGCTGTCGGAGTTGCGCCTCTGTCCGCAGGTGTGACTGTCAGCTCTAAGACCTATAAGATCTCTAAGCTGCATTGTTGTCATTATATGATATTATATGTCACTATGAAAATCTATGAAATGATATTAGATGTCACGAATTGAGATGGCAATTCAATGAAGTGAATTAACGAGCATGCAACATGGTGATTTAAAAGGAATTCAACTTACAGAAGTGACGGGCCCTGGGGTGGAAAGATGAGACAGACCTTGTATGGAATCCCATGCCGAACTGGTTCCTTGCTAGGCTTTTGTGTGGCATCCAAATCAGGCCAGTGGACCAAATCAACTTCTTTCCAGCTTTGTCAGCACGAGCGCAGTATTAAGTATCCTGAAATGTCGGGCATGGGCATATAGCCACAGGGAGGTTGATGTTTACTCGTTAGGTGTGGGTTCTAGTTTACCTGTTCTGGGTACAGGATCGAGTTTTACTGACCCCTCACAGGGTCGAAGTTGATAGCTGAAGACAGGGGGCAGCCTGTGTGGAGGCTTGCGAAAGCCAAGCAGCTTTGCAAGAGGACTTGTGTGCTTCCCTCAGGCGATTGACCGGTTCCAAGAAGTCCACCATTTTCTACAGGCCTTGTTAGAGGCCGGGCCCAAGGCCCAAGGCCCAAGGCTCAAGACTCTGACTATTGGCCAATCGCAGAAATTTTTTGCGCTATTTTTATTTCCTCGAGAGCAAGGACACAGTCCCAGACCTGGTGGAATTCGCATCCCTCGTACTGTTATAAGACGGCGTAATAATACATATAATACGGTATATATTATGAGATCTGCTCCCAGGTCGAGCTGAAGATCAGTTCCTGTCGGACACATTTCTTCCTTGGGCTGAGAAGCAGGCAGACCTTGGCAAAATTGGGAGCAGTATTGGAGCCACCTTTACAGCCTTTATTTGTCAAGCAAGGGATTAAGATGATTCTAGAAATCACAGAGAAACTTTGTTCTGCGGATAAACAAAAGGGTCCAAGAGTCAATCTTTATAATTATATTTGTATTGTACGTGTGTGTATATATATATAGTATAATTATGCAAACAGTACTACAATATATGATTATATATATACACACATTTTTTCCATGTAAATGTACATTATTATTATTCATTCATTGTTTAAGGGGCAAGCATTTGACCAAGTGAACCTCCTGCAGATCAGGAAGCTGCCAAAGTCGCATGGCTCCTCTGCAACCATGGCGAGGTACCAGTTGCAGTTGAGCGTTGCTTTAAAAGTCAAATGTGGTTTGGCTGAACGGAAGTGGGTGTTGTTTGAACTTGATTACCCAGAAAACCAGAGTTTCCCGCACAAACAGGGACCAATAAAAAGTGGATTTTGGAAGGGGGTTCCCGCTAAAACATAAAACAAAATCATCCAGATTCTTGGTTTGTTGTTTGATTTGTTTGCTTCAAGTTTTGTTGCGAGCGCCTGAGATTGTTGTGATTTTGGGATTCATCCAAAATGCTGCAGGCATTTTCCCTCAGCCGTGCCCTCCTGGCGTTTGGCCAGGCTGGGGGCTGTTTTTTCATGGCTGGATTTCTAAAAATGACCCCATTGGATCCATGGCACCACGGAGCCATGGATGGCTTGCAGGCCGCTACAACGGAGTCAAGGCTTCATGACTTGGCATTTGATGGGCATTTCCAGCTTCATTGCCTCATTGAAGCATGTTGAACCAACCTCTTTGCGACTGCAAGATGAAAATGCAAGAAATGTCAAGACATGTCATAATTGCATACCAATAGATTCAATAGATGCCATGCGCAGCACAGAGGATGACAAGCACAGCAACGCCGCAACGCGAAACAGGTGGCGCTCAATTGCCTTTGTGCTGGACCGCACCAAAGGGTCTACCACAGAGCCTGCAGTGGAGGAGAGCTGGGTGACAGTGAAAGTGGTAGAGATATCTACAGATTTTGAAGATCAGATTCTTTCACCAGGTGTCATGGTCAAGTCATGGTCAAGTGACATGACCAAATCAGCCGAGTTTGCACACCTGGTCCCAGGCATTAGCACTTGCAGAGGGCCGCCGGATGGTCTTCGACGTTTCGTGAGATTCGGCCAACATTTAGAAGTGAAAAGACTTCTGGTCTCTCTACCTGGGGTGACTTCTCAGACTTTGGTGACTTTGTCCGGGCAACATCTCTCCTCGTCTCTGCGTCGGAAAAGGTGCACACCATTGTGTCGAGTAGCCGAAGATTCGGAGCAAAAGTATCTTCGTCTCCCAAGTCTCTTTTTGCATGCTTTGCTTATTTTTGCTTGCCAGGTTGTTGAAGTTTTACGAGAGCAAAGATATCAAGCTGCAAGAAGTTGCTCACATAGCCATTGATGAGGCAGCCGCCCCAGATGGGTCGGAGAAGGGACTGGCTGCGACTGAGTAAAGCCTTGGGACACAAATCATTTGACACCCAGCTGGCTGAGATTGGTCATGAGTCATGAGTCATCGAGGGCACTAGAAGGGCTGCTTGTGACACGGTTTACTGCACACAGAACAACTTCTAAACTTCTTCCAAGCAAGTCGCCATTGATGTACTTTTTTGGGACTTGTGTGAGACGACTTTCCTTGAGGCAGACTTCTTGTTGACGCAGGGATTCGAAGATCTCTACAAGATCCTGGACATCGTGAACCAAGAGTCAAGGCCAATGAAGCGACACGAGAAGTGACGCTCTCGCAGTTCGCCAAATAGATGAAGGATATGAAGGAAATGAAGGATGATGAAGATTTGCAGTGCTGGCTTTTGCTTCCTTCCATCAATTGCACCCTTGAATCGGAAGTGCTTATTATTACATCTTATTACGAAGAACACTGAATGCCTACACTCTATCCTTGCTTCTTAGCAGTGCACGTTTCACCCTCACCAGTGCCCTTTTTCCTTTATACTTATCCTTACTATGCTTCAAAAGAAGACTGGCTGCAAGATGACATCACCCAGATTCTTGAAATCAAGCTTGTGGTGTTTTTTTTTTGTAGGCATCACTAGCTGGACTTGTTGAATGCCTTAGATTGCCTTAGTCTCATTGAAATACCTCTCCTTCCAAGCAGTCCAGCTCCGAAAGGTACAAAAAGCGCATGCGCTATTCCCTCATCACAGCAACTTGACACTAATCTGGATGTTCCTGGACTTCCAGACTTATGAATAGATGAAATAATATAATGAAATAGATGCTTCGTATTTCAAGATCCAACACCTCGTACCAATGCACTGATGCCAATGTGACAATTGAACTTCAATGACGGGTTTGTTATGGTTTGTTCATGGCAGAGTTCTCGGGTAGATCCAAGTGATATTTTCAGTACATGGCTGGGATATCCTATGCATATCCTTCTAATGAGGCCAGCATCACCAAGCCTTTGTCCGGACCCCCGGAATTTCAGAAGTGCGGAGCCGTGGAGTTGCAACGACTGATACTCTGGTGAAACGACCATCCAAACGACCCCCCCACACCCGCGAAACCATCAAGGATTGATCATTTGATTTGAAGATTTTGCAGCAACGGAGAGGGCGAAACACTGCATTTATACACATGGTCCGATGGTTGCTGCAGTGCAGTGAGCCCATAGTTTGATCCATCGTTTCAGTGTCACCGCCATTGCAACGGAAGAACCTGAGGTGGAAGATTTTTCAGGAAGACCGCCGTTTCAGGCCGGTTTTTTCATACTTTGATTGCCTCTTGGCGTGTGATATCAGTGATATCTGAGAGTTCCATGCTATGTCCTACGGAGTGTGAATGAACTAATGAACCATGCTTATTTGACCACTGAGGATTCCTCTGACATAATGATTCCACGATTTGGCTCAAGGTTTTAGTTGCGGAGTGTATAGATTGAGTATAGAGCCTCAAGGCAGGTTAATCATTTGCTGAGCCACTTGAGCCCGTGCCAACCATGGCCAGATGCATCAAGATGCGTCAAGTGCTCTCAGTTGTCATCCTTTTCTCCGCAGTTTTGAAATGCATGCTCTTTGAGGATGGACAGGGAATAGCTCGCAAAGACGCAGACCCCCTGGGCACGATGGCCACCGATTCCGTCAATTTTCCAGGCCGAGCGCTGTTGGAAGACTCATCCTCTCAATTTGATGTCGCTGGAATGACAGAGCCGTGCCATCATCAGCGAGACATACCAGATTTAAAGAAACAGCTGGAGGTTTTGAGGAAGCATGTGATCCATGGGGACTCCTCGGCTGTCAAATCCCTACTCGATAAGTGGAGCGGGCATGATGCCTATGTGCACAACTTGAACAACTTATCCCCAGCCAAAGACCAAGACTATCCACAGATTCAATGTAGTGACTTGAACTATTTGGCAAGGTATCAGGTGAGCTATGCAGAGTCGATCTACGACCAGTTCTACCAAGTCAACTATGCAAATGTTTCCTACATGACGGTGCTGGAGCTGGCTTTGCACATGACCAAAGGCGCCAACCAAAGGGCTTTGACAATGGCCCTGAACAAGAACGAAGTGGATGTAGGAAATCAAGGTGAGCGATCGGAAGATCGCGTCAGAATCATCCGCTTCTTGTTGGAGAAGGGCTTTCTGTGGGGGAGTGGAGACTTGGTGTGCAAAGTCGTTCACCCCGAAAGTGGGTATCACACAGAAGTCCGCGAGGCATTTGCAAGGACCATTTTGCACGACTTGGTAAGAGATCTGGTCCACATGAACCGAACTCGCATCAATTACCTCCGACAACATTGTGGCCGCAACGGCATGGATGGTGTGGTGTGGATCTTGGGGTCAGCCCCAGGAGCCTTCACTCTTCTTGGGGCGCTGAGCCACAAGACGGTGCTGATGAAAGCGGCCCGGGATGACACCAACCACGATGAAGCTTTCATCAATTTTCCGGAACTCATTGATCTTCACAAGGTGCTGCAAGCGCCTGTGACAACTGTGGATCTGGATGGTTGGAATGCAGAGATGCATGCGGCGCGGGTCTTGAAGGCGGAACATGCCAAGTTGCTGACGGAAACCACTTTGGAGATGTGGCGACAGCAGGGCAGAGATGCTTTCAGCTTCTTCTTGCTTGGGGAATCTGTGTCAAACAACCTGTCAGGGTTTTGCATCTTCCTTGCTCTGAATGTCAACATTCTGGCTTACATTGGTGCTTGCTTCTTCATGTGCTGTTTACTCCTTCACACTTCTCTGATCCTATGCAAGAAGCTGTACCCCGAAGGAGCCACATTTGACCACCTGCTGTCTTGCATTGGAGTCTTCTATCAGGATAGCTGTTCTTTCCTTGGTGTTGAAATGCTTTTGAGGGTGCTTTGGCTGCTCACCCTGAACACAGCATTTCTGAACTTCCCGCCAGAGCTCATCATAGCCTGGGAGACACAGACCAATCCATTCGGCATCCCTCCTGTCAGCAAATGGAATCCTCTGCCTGCCACGGTGAAGTTGATTTGCTGCTTTTGCATCATTGTGCTGGTGATGTTTGGAGTGCTTGACTATTTGGATGTTCGTGACAAGGCTCGCAAGTCCAAGGATTCCAAGGCAGGCGAGAAAAAGACTCTTCCTGCTCCGGCATCTCCTGAGGACCGATACCAAGACCCAAAGTTCCACCTGGTTGGTTGTGTGTGCGTCTTTGGGCTGATGACACTCCTCATGTTCATCTACGTGAAGGTCGTGCTGAAGCCTCTGGAAATGGATCCCAAGAGGATGGGACTGTGGCTTGGGTCACTGCTGGTTCAAGTGAAAATCACCTTAGAGGGCACCTTATCTCCTGAAGAGCAGCGGGGTCTCCAACGGCTTTTTGGCCGTCAGAGCCATCGACCAATACCATCAGTACCACTTGAAGGTGAATCACATGTACCAATTGAAGGTGTACATGAGCGCTATCAACCGTTGTGGGATGTAATGCAGAACTGGTACCGATGGGCCTGTTGCATGGTGACACCTTTCAACCCAAAGATGTGGCATTTGCTCATGTATGCCCACAAGAGGAATCCGAATGGTGAGCAGCTGCGAATTCAAAATGAAGACGGTCACCCAGCTGAAGGTCAATGGCCTTGGTGGGAGATCATCTCTCGCTTTGCCATGTCCTACATCTCAAATGGACTTTACAAGGCCATCATTGTGTACACCTTGCCACTCTGGCTGTCCAGAGGAGGCCTCGCAGATTTTGTTCTCAATGCATTTGCCACAGTGTACATCGTAGAGCTCGATGATGTGACCGATTCCGATCGTGAAACCTGGAAGTTGATGACGGAGAGTGACAAGGGCGAGGCCGAGGCCTTCTCTGAGCGCGCGGTAGGTGCTTAGCCCATCTTAGCCCTCCAACGGGACGCATTGCCCAGCAGGTTTAAAGAAATGCGTGCGCCCAGATACCATTAGCCCATCAGCCATCAGCCCACATTTGCCCACATTGCCCACATCAGCCCGCCTGACAGGACCATGAAGGTCCTTGAGTCCAAATCCCTGCATAAGCCGCAGGCCTGAGCTGCTTGATATTGGTTAACCATCATTTTTTGAAAAATTTGAATCAATTTGATGGCCTTATGATATTGATGGGCCTTGTCGGTTCATACTCACATTACAAGTGCCTCATAGTTCACAATGTTGGGTTTGAGATTTATGATGATTTTTCCGATGTATTTCTTCTGCTAAGCGTGGTGAAATGTTTGGTGGCACCAGTTGCAGGCCAACTGTTCGCACACAATGGTCCTGACGAAGGGTCGTTGCAAGATGAGAATGTTGTCAGCATCCCAGAGTTGGAAGAGTTGGCGACACATGGCTATGGATCAATACCTATACATACCATTTTTAGGGGGATGAACATCCATTTACCAGCTATTTTGATGTGCACCAGGGGGATAGGGTTTTGACCCATCCCCACATTGATTAAAATTATTTGAAATAATGCATACAAGAAATGACTTGGAGATGTGTCTGACTCATAATTTGCTGGAAGAATGGCCTCGAAAGATTGAGAATAGCTGGAGACATGCACGTGGTGGTAAACCCGTTCAGAGACATGACCTGCCCACAAGAAAGGCATGCTTGCGTGGAAATGGAGAAGAGTTTCGAGCTGCTTCCGTGTAAGGCAACAAATTGTCCAAAGAGACCTTGGTCAAGAAAGCTTGCGCCGGAGCCTATGGCCTCCATTAGTAATGTATCCAATGCAGTCGTGCCAAGATGTGTCCACTACATCTATAGCTCTTGGATACTTTTTGCATCTTTTTGCCTCCTTGGGCATCACGGGCATCACGGGCATCACCTTAGTTTTGACATGTGATGTTCTCAGGATCTCCCCTCGGTTTCGCAGTTGTTACAGTTGTTACAGTTGTTTAGACTTGGTGAACTTGGGAGGTCGAGGATTGACTCCAAGACAAACGATGGTCTTTTGCAATTCGCTGTCAGCTGCAAAGCACATGCCTTAGCTGCGCTAGTTGGAGCTTTTCAGCACCAAAAAGGCTCTGAGCAGCTGGAGGTGGCATGAAGTGCTTGATGTTCTCGCTTAGTCATCAAATGTCATCAGGTCTCAGGCCAACTTCACAATTTCTTTGCTTTGAGGTCGATTTGCTATCAGCTCAAAGAACAGTACAGCCACGTGCAAGAGCAACAAACCCAGATGGTACAGTCATGGTCCTTGCTACGCAGTCCAGTGATGTCCAGTGAACATAAAGATCATAAAGCATGAACTTGAAACACTGGAGATATCCGGAGATATCCGGAGATATGGTGAACAGCTCAAAAGGATTGGCGTGCCTCATGGACATTTCTTGTGGACCGGCTGAGGAAGATTGGAGTGCTCCACAAACAGATGCTTACGGCTGCTTGTCCTACAATTTGTCTGAGTCCGGCGATTGGGCTCTTCCTGTTCGGTTGCGCATGCTCCATCTTCATTCCATGTGCAACAACATGTTTTCTTTCGTTTATATGCTTCCAGAATCACTTGATGTTTACGCAAAGTGTCAAACAAAATGCTGATGTGTGTTGATTGTGCTCCCAAAAATGGGAGTGTCTGAAGAGATGATACCTCATGGTATACAGTGCTGATGTTCGCTGTGGACTAAGAACCTTGACTCTCGACCTTCAGCTTCGGGCGGATCTAAGGCTGAACGTGCCGATGTGCTGAAAAAGTTGGACCCTCAACAACTTGCTCTCCAGCAATAAATGGCTCTCATTGGGACCCTGATTTTTGTTGATTTTGTTGCCTGATTTTTTCTGATTCTCAGTTGCATCCAGGCATCCAGCAGGCATCCAGCAGGCATCCAGCTTGAACTGAGGTTCGCAGCGGCAGAGACCAATGTATTGGTTTGCACTGACATTGCACAAAGGGGAATCGATCTCCCGAACTGCGAGTGTGGACACCTGGGCAATCCTGGGCATGTTTTTCGTCTGTCATAACAATGGGGGCACCATGAGGCACCATGTAGCCCAAACCCAGCGTGGTTTGCTACATATTCTGTTTGGAATGGATGAGAA